GATCCATATCTACTAACACAAAGGTGGGGCTTAAACTCAGGTCTGTCTGACTCCATAGCCCATATTCTGAACAGAAATTCTCAAAAATACCTGTACATCAGAATCACCTGACAACTACCACGTCAAACTCTCCGGAGCTGGAGCTCCAGAGTCGCTAAAGCTCTGCAGTAGATTTTAACACAACCAGGCCAAAGCTTTGGGAAGCTCTGCTCTCAAGCACTACACTGTGTTTCCTCCTCAGTGCAGGCCTTTTAAATGAGTGAATAAGTGAATGAGTGCGTGATGGCTGTAATTCTTCCATTGATCATTCATTCCTGCGTTAAGGTTAGCTTTCAAGCAATGACCTTTATTTTAAAATGCAAATACTCCTGAGAGACTGTCTCTAAATTTCTGATATCTTTATCAGAGACTTGGTTACAGAGAAACTCAACCTTGGTGGCTCTGGGAAGTACCTATTTAAGGACAGGGTAGGACCAGGTACTAAAATTCACACCTTTGGTACCTCAAAGTGTTGCAGGACCCCGAAACTTGGGGCTCACTTAAAATTCCTTCAAGTTTGTTAATGTAGTAAAGTGTCCCCTGGATGGACCCTTAGTTGCCCAAGGCTTCTATCTCTCCTCCAGATCTTCTGCTGTGTCAGACATTACCCGTGACAAGGGCTCTTTGGATGGTCCAGGAACATTCCATCTGTGTGCAGTGATACTCTCAAGCTTTCCTTTATCCTCTTGAGCCCACTCCTTAAAGGGGTGATGTCCCTCTTCATGACTGGCAGCTTCTCTAGAAACCAGACCTCAAGCAACTTAAGCAAAGGCAGCACAAGTGTCCATCAACAGATGAATGGATAAGTAAAATGCAGTTTTATCCTTACAGTGGAATATTATTCAGCAATAAAAAGAAATGAAATATCAACACATGCTATAACATGGATGAACCTTGAAAATATTACACTAAGGTGGAAGAAGCCAGTCACAGAAAAACACATATTATATGATTCCATTTAATACAAAATGTCCTGAATAGGCAAATCCTTAGAGACAAATAGATTGATGATGCCTAGGGCTGGGGGAATTGGTGAGGAATAGGGAATAACTAATAGGTATAGAGTTTCTTCATGGAGTGATGAAAAATTCTAAAATCTATTGTGATGATAGTTGTACAACCTTGTGAATATGCTAAAAACCACTGAATTATACACTTTAAAAACGTAAATCTTATGATATGTGAATTATACCATAGTCTCAAAAAGACAACAAGGCAGCACAAGGTGACAAAAGCATTGTAGTGAAATTATATATGAGAATTGTGAGATTCCCAGACACCCATCACCACTGGAAAAGACTCTCAAAAGTTCCGCTCGTCCAGAGGGCTGTATGGGACCGTACTTATGAACAGGTGCTCACCTTAAGATATTTATAAGTTGATTCTATCCATAACTTCCTATGATACTTTTTTCTCTCCTGAATTTCTTTCCTCTAATTTATTTACCCTTTTCTTTTTTCCATCCCTTGTGTGACTAAGTTCACAGTAATTCACAGATTAAAAATACAAGAAGTCAGGCACATAGTATTATATTTTTTGGGAAAAGATTCTAAATTAAAATGTAAAATTTGGCTGTTGCTTTGCCATTTTTGCTGCAAGCAATGCTAGAGAGCTGGTGCTCATTATTTACAGTGGGAGAGAAGCATGTTATAATGTTTAAAAGTAGAACATGATTCCATCAGAGTCTCCATGTGTCCGAGTTCCCACCCCCTTCACATCCCCATGACCATGGCCTAGTTCAGGGCTGCATTACCTCTCGCCTGGACCATCGAAGCAGCTGATTTCCTGCCTCCAGCCTCTCCCTCCCTCCTTAGTAACTCGTCTTCCATCACACTGCCAGAGTTAGCTTTTAAGAAATGCAAATTTGAGGCAGTGCAGCCCAGAGGATAACAGCTTGGGTCCCAGTCTCAGACTGCCTGGATTTGAATCTGGGCCTCACCACCTACTAACTCAGTCAACTTAGGCAAGTTACTTAATCCTCCTGTGAATCATTTTCCCCTATTTTTACTGAGGGTTAAATGAGAGCAGTATGTTAAGTGCTTAGTCCAATGACGGGTTTATAGCAGTCAGTCACTATAAGTTTTTATTATTACCCTTATATCAAATGCTGCCATATTTACTCATTTCTACATAATGAAATCTAATCATTGGTCATGCAGGAACCTGTGACATCTAACGCCAGCCTGTCTCTTCCCAGTTTGCAGCCTTCTCTAAACACATCAGGCAAATTTGTGACTCCAAGTTTTTCTCAAGCTCTTTCCTCTGCCATTTCTGTATCTCCAATTAGAAAAGTCCGTTCTTCATTCTGGAAGACTATAAGGCTATGAAGCGACTGTGAAGCTTTTCCCAAATTCCTCTTTCCTCTGTGTTCTGACAGCACTGTTGGGGTTTGAGAAAAGTTGACCAAAGTGAGTCGTATTTTTTAGGTAAAACAAAAGGACTTCTTGGAGCACTAGATAAGAGAAATGAGAGATAAAAGAAGAAAGGATGACTTCTAAGCTTACATCTGGAACAACTGGGCATGTGCTGGTGCCATTTATTAATACAAGAAAACCTGGGGAGGATAGGGTTTTGAGGGACTAGTAATAAAGACATCTGTGCTAGTTAGGTTGAGTTTGAGATGCCAATCAGGTGTCCAAGTAGATTTGGTAAGTAAGCAGTTGACTATATGAGTCTGGGGTTTGTGGAATGGTCATGGCTGTGGATATAAAACTGAGAGTCACAACGGTATAGGTGGGGCCAGTGGAGATAACTTGGGCAAGCCTGGGGGACCAGAAACATTTAGAGATCAACTAGAGGGAGAGAAACCGGTTAAACATATACGTGTCAGTTTACTCACCCAGTACTTGCTTGAAGTCAAGTACTGTCTTCTTTATCTTTGTGCCTAGTGATGTTTGCCATGCAATTTTCAGTAAATGCTTGTTAAGTTCATTTCAATACTAAAAGCAAAGAATGATGGGTTCTTACAAGTCTACAAGCCATACACTTTAATGATTTAGCAACATTTGCAAAAGAAGCATGAAGGACAACTCCAGCATGTAGCTTCAGGTGGAATATGGTGGAGAGTTCCATTACTGCTATAGACAGGCTGATCCTCCCTGTCCCCTAACCTTTCCCTAGGGACACACTCCAAAGGGCATGGCCTCAATGCTCATGGGGGCAGTGGCAGAAAGCCCAGGATCCCAGCGTGGTCCTCAAGGCTGAATACCAGGGGTCTTGAGAGAGCAGCAGCTGCTGGTACATATGGTTGATCAGTTGGAGTTCCCCTTAGTTCTGGGCTGAAGCACCTCCATGTACACAATACCTAATTTTCCTAAAGATTGCATGGGAAACTTTCTCAGGTGTCTTGTCACGTTTTTCCCATGACTTTAATGGTTTAGTATTCATATTTTTCTGACCTTGTTGTTTCTATGAAGCACTTAAGAACTTGTAAATCAAGACATGTCCCTCTTTTTTCTGTCGTCTTGCCACTATTCTGATCAGGCCTTCATCACCTTCACCTTGACAAATTCAGTAGCCTTCTCTCTGGTCTCCCTGCCTCGATAGTCTCCCCACTCTGCTTTGAGGATAACCACCTGCTAAGAACTTCGGCAGCTTTCCCATTGCTTCCTGAAAGAAAAAGATTCCAATACTTTAAGGTTGGCATTCCAGGTCTCCCACAATCGATCATTTCCAGGCAACCTTTCCAGTACTAGTGCCCATGAACTGTATCCTGGCTTGTAATTCACCAGGCCCCCATTTTTTACACAAAAGAGTTACTGTGCTTTCTCTTTACTGTATTTCAGTACCTGCCATTTCTTTCACCCAGGGTGCTTCACTTGTTACTCCATCTGTTAACATCCTACTCATGCCTCAAGTTCCAGGCCAGCACCACCTTCTTCAGGGAACCATCCTTACTCACCCCATTGGAAGAAGTCCTTGTCAATACTTCCAAAACAACTGGTTTTTTTTTAATGACGCCTATCTGATAGATGTGGTGATGATGATTATGGTGGTGAAGACAGATAGAAAGATAGATAGAGATTTTGATTGTTTTCTTCTTGCCTTGAAACTCTGAATTATTTTTAATTTCAACAGACTGTACCTAGCACAGCTTATAGAAGGAATTCTAATAATATTGACTGAAGGAATGAATAAGTGAGTGACCCAATTGACCCAATAGTCCATTTGTAATTAATCCCCACATCTCACAGTTTATCCATTGTATAATTCTAGGTCTTCATATATCGAATTTTCTTAAAGTTGAGACTTTCTATGGGGTGACCATGAAGTCATCACATAGGTGATGTCCATAGGTGACAAATACTAATTGAGTACGTGGTATGTCCCAGGCCTTATGATGGATTCTGAAAAGCAAGTTGTAAATAAAAACAACACGTTCCTGCCCTGACAAAGTTTATAGATTCATGGAGGCGACCGCAATTAAATAAGCACCGTAGGGGCTGCTTCCAGGAAGAACTGATATGGAAGCTGAGACCTGAAGGGGTCATAAAAATTAGTCCTGCTCAACTGTATGTGTGACAGTGTGTGAGGTAAGGGTACAAGGGAGGATCATGAGGAGGCTGGGCAGAGGATGTAGAAGAATGAATAGAGTAGGAAAAGTCCTTGTAGGAAGAGAGAAGAATCAGAAAATTAAGAGATTCTTATGGCCAGAATATCAGTGAGTAAAATGGAGGAGATAGGCTGGGAGAATGTGCAAGTTTGGCACAAAGAGCACTCTGAGATGTGAAAAATATGCTCATATGCTCAGAGGGTCTTTGAAGGATTTTAAGCAGAGCACTGACATGATCAGACCAGCCCTTTGGAAACATCGCTGTAAATTCATGTGCAACATGCACAGGAGACACTAGAGATAGGATCCCTCAGGAGGAGGCTCTTACCAGCAGCCCAGGCTGAGGGTGACTGACTGGCACTTAGCCCAGGTCTTTGCCACAATAACTGCTGTCTCTGCCTCTTCTCAGGGCTTCCAGGGCAGCAGCTGAGGAGACCCTACCAAGGAGCACCACGCAGTAAATGCTGAAACATCGCACTCCGGGATAAGAAGCAGTAACATGGCAGCACCTGTTTGAAAGGAATTAAAAACCAACAGACTCCATTTAGAAAGGAACAATGTCCAAGAAAGGGCGAAATAAGGGCGAGAAGCCCGAGGCGCTCATTGTCGCCCTTCAAGCTGCCAACGAAGAACTCAGGACCAAGCTCACCGACATCCAGATAGAGCTGCATCAAGAGAAGTCCAAGGTGAGTGAGGGCTTCCTGTGGCTGTAGCCTTGAGAGCAGCTCGGGCCCAGCTCTACCTGCCAACCTCCCTCAGTTGCCAGAGAGGCAACTTCAGGGCTTCTTCCTGCCAGGTACCAGAGAGGGCAACAACCCCTGTACACATGGAGATTCTCTTGTGTGTGGCAGGAGGGAATTCAGCACAGGATACACAGATGGTCAGACTCACCTGTTCATGGGACTGATCTCTGCCTCCTCAGGAAGCCTGGTTCAGGAAACCAGGTATAAAAATTGAGACAACCACCCCCACCGCTATTACCTCCCAACATTTAGTAGTGTATGACCTTGGGCAAGCCCTACCCTTACCCTTCCTAAGTTATTCTCCCTATGGCTTTTAGAGCAGTCTTTCTAATCTGTATCACATCATGTCACTCCACTGCTTAAAACCCTCCACTGGCTTCCTACCTCTCTCAAAAGATTTTCCATACGACTCAGGATATTTCCTCCAGCTCTCTCTTTGACTCTCTTCCACTTCTCTGCCCTGGATCACTCTGTTCTAGCCTCTCTGCTGGATCAAGAGAGAGATGCCGATCACATTAGGGCCTTTGCTCTTTTCTTCCCCCATCAGCTATATGCTCCTTCCTTACCTCCTCCAGGTGTCAGCTCCAGTGACGTTTATCTGACCACTGTCTCTACAGCACAACACTGCCATGCTCAGTTACCCCCGACAGTCTGACTATACTTGATGCGTTTCACAGCAATTTATATATCTATTTATTTACTTGTTTAGTGCTTATCTCTCCCCCAGTCCAGTGTAATCTCTATGATAGCAGAGTCTTACCCTACCTCTGTATCACTAGAGCCTAAATAAATGCCCAGAACTGAAAAGCTCAATATATATTTGTTGAATGAGTAGAGGAATGAATGAAAGGTGATTCATTCCTTATACCTCAGTTTCTTCATCAATAACATACTACTGTCTCGTAAAGCTGTGATGAGGTTTAAATTAGGCAAGGATGTAAAGTACTTATGAGGATTAAATGAGAAAATTCATGTCAAATGCTCAGATTGCTGCCTGGCACATAGTAAACTCTCAAAAAAAATAATGGTGATATTCTGTCTAATATGCTCTGCACTTGAATCAGTTGCTAACTAGTCTTAGGAAAGTCTCTTAACTTCTCTGAATCTCATCTCTTAAATGGATATGCTAACACTTATCCCACCAGAGTGGTGTGAATATTAAATTGGGTGATGAATAGGAAGGCATTTTGAAATATTCAATGCACATAAGATGTATTTTTTCGATGCAAACTGGAGCCAACTATGTTAATACAAAGTAGGCTTATGTACGTAACTCTTTGTATAGTAAGAAAATGTTTTTTCGAGCTATAGATCACAAACCAAGAAAAATCCTTATTCTGTTTAACTACCTCTTCTTCCTTGTCATTACTATTAAATTTTAATTAGTTATCTTCCCCAAAAATCTATTTCTCCTAGTTTCAGCAATAATAAAGCTTGGATCCGCCAAAGCCCCTTGCCTCCTATCTCAGCTGTGCCTTAACTTTAGATAACCAGACCCCAAGGTAAAGTTGTGAAGGATATGTCTTAGTTTCCATGAAACTAAAGGGAGCATGATGTCATAAAAAAAAAACAAAAAAGAAACAAAGAAAGAAAAACAAGAACATTTGTTGGAGAGTCAGAAGACCAAGGCACTGTCTTTATCTCTCCTTGGGGACAAATTTAAGTGTCTCAGTGTCTGGATCTGTAATTCAGATGACTGAATCTGTTTCCCCACGTCCATGTCTCTCCAGCGTCATTGTGCATTAGAATAACCTGGGGGAACTTATTAAAAATTAAGATCCCTGGGCCCGCAATCCCGGGATTCTGATAAAGTAAGTGAGGTGAGGACCAGGACTTGCAATTCCAGCAAGCAGTCCAGCAGTCTCCGTGGAGATGGTTCTCTGCCTTCCTGTTGACAAAGACTCCACTCTGAGATTCCTTCCAGGTCTGACAATCTGTGAACATTTCATTGGTTTTAATGTTCCCTGGGGCAAAGTAATGTTCCCAGGGAGGCAGTCTCCTTTAATTGTAGTAAGCACAGGATGACGAACTACATTCATAGGAAGGAGCTTGTCGTCCGGAGACTGGTAACCATAAACTGCTGCTGATTTACAGACAGCACGCTCACGAGATTTCAAAGAGGCGGGGGCCCCACAGCCCCACCACTGCCGATTTTCCACACATTCAAGCCTTTTAAAAAACGGGTAACTGTCAAGTGGATGAGGCTGCCTGTTTATCCAGGGCCTGGCGCTGGTGTCGAAGCCAGCAGGTCAAGCATAACCTCCCCTTCCTCTGCCGACAGATGGGAAGCCTCTTGAATAAAAGCACTACCTTTACCCTTCCCTCTGCCGGCTGCCCAGTCTCCCTGTCTGTGGCAGTTAATTACAGCCCCAGCACAGGGGCCAAAGCAAGGCCCACCCCCGTCAGCAACCTTCCCCAAAGAGCAAAGGGAATTTTAAGGGCAAACAAGTCATAAAGCAGTTCTATTAAAATAAATATGATTGTGCTTCCAAAGGCCCAGCCTTTAAGAGAGAGAATATGAACAATGCCAAGATGTGAATTCACACTCTCAGTTTGGCTCGGAAGCTATGATGATAAAATGACAATTTGGCTACTAGGATATAGACTAAGCTAAAGAGTGGAAAATTCTGGGGTGCCGGGGCATTACTCACTTTTCCAGAAAGGAAAGTCATCCGTTAACTTTTACAGAACACATTGTGTGTAGAGCAGAGCCATAAATGCTTTGGGCTGATAATATAAACAGCTATGCTTTCTTGAAGTTTTACTCTCTGTCACACACTGTAATAAGCGCATTTCCTCCTGACCTCATCCCAGCTTGTTCACTTAGCACTTGAGTGACCCTGAGCAGATTATGAAACCCCTCATCTGTCAAATGGGATAATAGTAGTGTCCGCTTTGTAAGGGGGTATGTACATGTGTTAGTTTTTGAGCAGTTAGTTTGTGTTTCGGGACGTTAAGTGTTTTAATTCAGTTATCTCATTTACTCCATACCCTACGCCCTGCTTCTGGCAACCACCAATGTATTCTCAGTATCTGTGAGTTCAGTATTTTTAGATTCCACATATAAGCGAGATCATACAGTATTTGTCTTTCTCTGTCTGACTTATTTCACTTGGCATAATGCCCTCAAGTTCCATCTATGTTGTCACAAATGATAGGATCTCCTTCTTTTTTATGGCTGAATAATATTTCATTGTGTGTGTGTGTATATATATGTACATGTATATACATAGATACATATATATACATACCATATTTTCTTTACCCATTAATCCATTGATGGACACTTAGGTTATTTCCATGTCTTGCCATGCTTATGCTCTTAAAAATTGTAAAGATCTGGAAACAACTAGAAACCTTAGGCAGAGGAAGGGAGAATCACAAAACTTTTCTTTCTACTATTATGCAAATTTCAAATTGAGGAAGAATTGGGAGATGGGGTGGGAACTTACCCATATCCTGCTCCCATAGATGTCTTCATTCACCACAGGGAAATGAAAGAAAAATATTAGACACAGTCAACTTCCAGGAAATAGAAATTGTCTAAAAGACTTGCCAAGCATTGATAGGAATGAACATACCGATAAGGGGGTTGTTTTGACTGAACCCCAGACATAAGGGCCAAGAGGATGGAACTCTGAAGGCCCTGTGGTGGAAGGTAAAGAGCACTAAGTGGGTCTTTTATGCCATATGACTTTGTCATTTCTGGGCCTGCACTTTCGCATCTAGAAAATGAGCAGGTTGTGGACAAGGTAGAAGAACTAAGGTCCTTCCAAAACTAGGGATTAGTCAGGAAAGACACTGTGTGCTCTAGCTCCTCCTGCATTCAGATGCTTCTCAGGATCCTTCGGTGTCAGACGTCCCCTGACATCTAGTCTAGGTAACACTGTTCTCCTCCTTCCATTTGCTCTAGTATGTCCCCCTGTTATCTTTTTATCATAGGACTCTGTACTGATTGAAGTTATCTTATTTGTTTATTTGCTTGTTTATTGCCTGCTGCCCCTACCCCAATAACCTGTAAGCTTCCTATGGGCAAGAGACCATGTCTGCTTAAGGTAAACCCTCAGTGAGGTATCCCCAGTGCTGAGAATGTGGCCTGGCATGGAGGAGGTGTTCAGTACTACTTGTTGAATGAATTTTCGTGATCTCTTTTTTAAAGCTTTCCCAACAACCCCATGGCATAAGGACCATTATAGTATTTATTTAAGTGGGAAACTCCAGGCTCTGGTAGAGAAAAGAATTTCACCCAGGTCTGTCTGTTTCTTGGACCAGCAGTCTGAGCCATTAGGCTGTGGTGTTTTCTCTGTCCATCTCTTTTCTGGTCACTGTGAGGCCGTGATCCACTGTACAGGGTGTGTGAGCACACCAGGGATGGCTGGGGGATGTGACATCCACCCACCTGATTCCCCAGGGCTTCGAGCCTTCCCTCACAGGCAGCCTACAGCCACAGTGAGCCCTGCGGGCACAGTGACAGAGGGGACAAAGGCACAGGAGCAGAGAACAGGGGCTCCAAGGATAGAGGCAGTGGGGCAGGGTTGCAGGGTCTGAGAGGAGTCAGCTCCAGACAGGATTTTCCACCACTGGAACAGCCCTCAGGCTGCAAAGCACTTTTACAGTCCTCACAGCGAGCCTGGGACAAAGGCAGGGCATGGATTCTTATTCTGATTTCACTGAGAAGGAAAATGAGTTCCAACTGGTTAACTCATTTGCTCCCAGCGACACAGTGAGTGGAGGAGCCAAAATTCTCTAAGGTGGTTGTCACGAGTATCTTACTCCGCTGCATTCCGTTGCCTCCAGGGCACTCTCAGAAAATCAGCCGACCTTCTCTATCCTCAAGTGCCTGCTCCACCGCCACCAGGTTCAGGGCCCGAATTTGGCACGTGATAGTTCTCGCTTTCTGCACCTTTAGTTTTGTTTTCAGGATGCGTTAAGTGGCTAAAAGCAAGAAATAAAAAAATAGAAGCCTTTGTGCTTCCTCGGGTTTTATAAAATTTCCCTTGTAAGCGACCTTCTTGTAGTGGCAGCTTTTTTCTCCTTCACATCTCCCGTTTCAGAGTGACTTCACACCATGAAAATCCCTGCCACTTACTGGGAGTTTAGATCTCCTGGAATATCCCAAGCAGTAATCCGAACCAAAGCTTATGTCAGCTTGTCTGGTCTTGATAACCTCTCAACCCTGCTTACCTTTGACAGGCTCTCCAACTTTTAATGCTAGATTTCTGAGATCACATTACAGCTCAAACATCACCAGCTTCATCTTGGCAGAATTCGCACTGGCATTTTTCAGGAGGCAGACTGGAATTAGGACAGAAGAGGAAACTACAGTGTGAAGCCTGTGTGGGATAGTCCTTCCTTTGGTCATAGTGTAAGCTTTCCCCAGTAGGATTAAATTTTCCTAGTGATTTTTTTTTTTTTACTTCTATAAAACCTGGAGCATAGAAGGTATTTGGGAGCTGTATCTTTCAAAGCCCTGTTCAGTGCTCACCCCCTTGCCCTGTCCCACCCCACACTCCACTCCTGCTGCGTACACATGATCCATGTGTCTTCCATGTTAAGATGAAATGCCACCAATGCCAGTGAACTCAACACATCCAGAGGAAACCCAATTTTATCTTTGAACATCTCTTTCTGTTAGGAAAATAGTGCCTGTGGTCTTGATAATGTAATAATAGCAATGTTAGTCTTATCATGATAATATGGGTAATTAGATTTAGGTTGTTGATGGTGTTAACATAGCATTGCATGATATAATATTCACATATACAATATTCATCAAAATTAATATTGTAATATCTACCATGGATTAATAATTATTAATCTCCCATGTGTTCCAGCCTTTTCTGAGAATTTTTGATACATTTTCTAAGTCAGTCCTCTCAACAACCATATGAGGATATCACCAATTCTAGTGGATACATGAGAAGACTGAGGCTGGAGAAATGAAGCCGCTTGCCCAAGGTTTCAGAGCCAACAAGGAGATCTGGACCTGACCCAGACCTGGCTCCTGGCCCACCCTGGGCTCTAGTCAGCTTTCTTTACATTGTGCTTATGTAGAAACCATTCCTCCCTTTTCTCATTTGAAATTCAGATGAAACAAGTGCTGCCTACATCGTGTTGCTGCCGAGGAGGTTAAGTGTACTGATGTGTGTGATGCCTTTAGAAAGATACTGACTCATAGTAAGCCCTTGATAAATGCTGACTATTATGTTATCCAGCTGAAATGTTGCTCCATAAAATGTTTCCACTAATCAAAATTGATGCTTTCTTCTACTAAATAATTTTTTTCCATTTCAAAGTATTATCATCATATTTTTCATTGTTAGGAATAGTTCTTCATCTTTTTGTATAATCATTCTCATGATTTACATTAAGATTTTAAATTCTATTTCCTTAGTGGTGTGATCTGAGCTGCAAGTAATTTTCAGAAAATGGTTTTAGTACAGAATTTTCCTTGGTTGTTTTTTCGTCCCAAATGTAGGTCACATCCTTCATATCACCTTCATAGTGAAACACTTCTCCCAAGCTTTAAAAAAAAGTCGTACCTAGACATCCTCCCCCAAAATGCCAGTTTCCATGACAACCAAAATAAGTGAGTATAAAAAATGCCAAATGTAATTCATACCTTTAAATTTTCTTTGAGTTCTATGAATTCATTTAAGTGATGGACAAGAAGGCCAGGGTTTGTTTGTATTTGTTTTTGTCTGCGGGCTGGAATATATTTTCCATGCACCTGTATTTTCACTTTTTTTTCGTTTTTTCATTCCTCTCCTCTGTAGTCTGCACACAAAAGATTAGTGTTCATAAGCTGAGAGAAATGACAGAATCGCGGAGTGATTGGCGCGCCTGGAGTGGGGGAGAGCTGAGGGGTAGAGTGAGTAGAGTGGGGGTAGAGTGAGGAGTAGAAACGCGAGCTGGAAGTCCAACCAAATCCAAGAGCCTGAAAGGGGAAGCCGAGGTGTTGGGATTTTATTCCTCAGCATAAAGCAGCCCTGGGTAATTTCTGAGCAGCCACATGAATGGCATCAGAACTGGGTTTTACTACGAGAATGTCACCCGCAGTGTGTCGGGGGAAACTAGGGTCATTGAATGAACCTCCAAGAACTCTAGAGCAACGCTGTCCACGAGAAGGATAATACAAGTCATGCATGGAAACCGTAGATGGGATTTGGAAATCTTTTGTAACCACAATTTTAAAACGTAAAAAGAAACAGAATTCATTTTAATCATATACTTTACTTAATTTGTCCAAAATATTATAATTTCAACATGTGGTCAATATAAAAATTATTAAGAGGATATTTTACATTCTTTACCTCTCACTAAGTCTTTGAAATCCAGTGTGTATTTTACACTTAGAACGAGTCTCAATTCGGGTGATATTCCCAGTGCTTGGTGTATTCCGAGGCCACCGTATTGGACAGCACAGCTCTGGAGCATATGAGATAAGAGGCATCCGGGGAGGGACCTTGGCCTGAGCAGGGTCAGAGGACGGTCATTTGAGAATGCCTGGCTGTTTCCTTGACCAGGCCTCCTTGTGCCCTGAGTTCTTTTAGAATGACCAACATAGGAATAGTTGCTGTGCCTGTAAAATAAAATATTCATAAAATGCCGTGTGGACTTAAAAAATCCTGTTTTAGCTAAAGGTAGGTAAACTGATAAGGTAAGTAAAATCTCAGACATTTTACAGTATAATTACAATGGTTTCAATAAGGAGTTTGAAGCTTAACATTGTTCAGCTGGAAAAGCTGTTAATGATTATTTTATGAAACCTTCCAATTTTACAAATGTCAGAGACTCAATATCACTCAGCTAGATATTACTCCTGGGGCTGCCCAATTCTTTCTTTTTTCCGGGTTACTCTGTGTGTGTGTGTGTGTGTGTGTGTGTGTGTGTGTGTGTATGCAGGCACACATGCACATGACAGAGAGCGAGAAACAAAGACAGGCGGCAGAGATGATGTGGGGGAGGACAATAGAACAGGATCTAAGAGGCTTTTTTAAGCCTCAAATGCCAGGACTCCGCCCTGATCTGAATGGGAGACAGACTCAACCAGAAGGAGGTAGCGCTGTTGCTAATCTATGAGGAGACCTATATTATCATTGGAAATGTAACAAAACACAGAAGATTTTTTTATAACCAAAATACCTGAAAGTACATAGGCTTGAAGGAATACTTTCTTGAACTACTTGGAGTGTTGGCTTGGAGAGGAGCAAGAGAGGGAGAGGAGTGGGAGTAAAGAAGGAGGCAAAGAGACATCTACGGGGCATGCGGAAATAATAGCCACGAAACTCCTTTAACAGAGAGAGGGCCCAATGAACTGCTGGGTTTTTGGGTGGTGTGTGTGTATGTGTAAAATTTGAGGATGGAACCAAGTTGCCATAGTGAGAAGGGTGAGGCTGAGGAGATATTGACTGTCTTCATTCTTCACTTTCCCCTTAGCAGCAGCATCTTCTCTTCAAAAAAAAAGAAGGAAAAAAATAGAAAATATTTTATATTACTTTAGGCACTAACTTATTAGTCTGATCCTAATATTGAACTACGAACTATCCCGAGACACTCACATTTACCCGTTTTGACCCAGCTGGGGATAGGTAGTCTAAAAAGCTCTCCGGGGAATCTGTTCTGAACGCCTCCCCACCAAAAGCTTATAGCACTGCTTCCTGATTTTAACGTGTATACCAATCACCTGGGGACTTATTAAAATTCACATTTTGATTCATAGATCTGGGATGGAGCCCCGGATTCTGCATTTCTGACAAGTTTCTGGGTGACCCCTGTGCTGCTTGTCTACAGACTACACATCAAATAGTAAGGCCCCGGATATTTGTCTGAACAAAATAATATGAGCATCCTTAGGTATTTCTTCCTTTTACACACTGTATTCCCAGCTTTAAAGCCTGTGGTTCCCTTCCCTCAGAACACACGGTGGCCTGGAATTTGAAAAGAGATGAGGATTTAAGAGATCATAGCAGCCTGCGTTGCAGATCCTGCCTGGGAGCGCACCTTTCCTTTGAGGCTTCTCTTTTCATCTTTTCGCCTCTCTCCCTTTAGGTATCCAAGCTTGAAAGAGAGAAGACTCAAGAAGCAAAGAGGATTCGTGAGCTGGAGCAGCGCAAGCACACAGTTCTGGTGACAGAACTCAGAGCCAAGCTCCACGAGGAGAAGATGAAGGAGCTGCAGGCCGTGAGGGAGAATCTCATCAAGCAGCACGAGCAAGAAATGTCAAGGACAGTGAAGGTGCGGGATGGAGAGATCCAGAGGCTCAAGTCAGCTCTGTGCGCTCTCCGGGACGGCAGCAGTGATAAAGTAAGGACAGCGCTCACCATTGAGGCCCGGGAGGAGGCCCGAAAACTGTTTGATGCAGAGCGCCTTAAGCTCTTACAGGAAATTACGGACCTGAAAACTGCCAAGAAGCAGGTGGACGAGGCTCTAAGCAATATGATCCAAGCGGATAAAATCAAGGCTGGGGACCTTCGGAGTGAGCATCAGTCCCATCAGGAAGCCATCTCGAAGATCAAGTGGGAGTCAGAGCGGGATATTCGGAGGCTGGTTAGTAACCCAGTGCAGTGAACCAGTGCAGAACCATTCTCTTCCCAGGTTTCAGAGCGCCATGGGGTTTGCTTTTTAAGGTGTTTCTCATGAGTGGATTATAAATAGTGCCCACCTTTGGGTCTAGTGCTCGATCCAAAACACCAGTTAGGTCGATAGGTAGGTAGGTAGATAGATAAATAGGTATGCCCAAACCAAAGCTGGAACTGCAAAATGTAAAAGATTTTGGAATCACATGTCTCATAAAAACTAGATTCTTCCAGCCCCATACATATGGGAAGTATCTATTCAATGATTCCTGTTTTCTTGAATGTCTATAAAAATATTCTGAAGTATGCACTCTTCCAAAATCAGCATGTTTTCATGGACTTTCCATTTGTAAAATGTTGTTGGGTTTTTACAGGGGTAAGGAAAATTTCTAGGGCTTTCATGATGTCTGAAAAGGGCAGCCACTGGGAACATTCTGAGTGACTCACCAGTCTTCTTTCCAGGAACCATGTCTGAAAGCAATAGAGATATAAAATCCTAGTCATTTTTTAAATAGATCTTTTTTTCCCCAAAATAAAGAGGGTCATTATAATTTTGAAATTGGATGTCCTTCCTAAGTGTCTTGTTTGCAGTCACCAATTTTCAGGATTTACCTCAACCCCTACAAAGTGGGATCTTTCTTTTTAATATGTATGACCAAAAGCCACATCGATCTCTCACTATGCTTAAAAACAAAACAGAGATGATTATGATGTGAAAGCTATAATGTCCTAGGATGACCTTGTCCATTTATTTTAGAAGAAACTGCATATATACTCATAATCTTTAGCATTAGTTATATTTTAGTTATATCTTATCAAATTAACCATTGCCTGTTAGAATGTACTTTATGCTTCTCTAAAAATAATATTTTCTTAGGAGAAATTACACTTTCCCTTGTTTCTGTTGATTCTAAGCAATTATTTTCTAAGAATTTTAATTATGTTCCTTGGATAATATCTCCAGGATTTCAGTTTTAAGTAAAAAGCAGCTACCATTAAACATTTTGAAAAGCTAAACGTGTACTTTTCTTCACACTGCAATACAGTGTAACTGTAAAATGTTGCCCTTGCCACAATTCCCTCATTCTTTATCTGCAGTTTCTTCTGTTGCACTGGTTGACAATAAAGACCAAACACAGTGCAGAAGTACTAGTCTCTGCTCTGTCTTTGGTTTTCAAAACTACATGGTTGATAAGAAAGAATCAGGACTGTGAACTCTGGAGTCAGCAGGTAGGTAAATGAAAAGGGAGCTTTACATTAAATATTTTTGTTTGTTGATGGTTTTCCATGTAAAATCTACGATTGTATCCACTTGTTGATCTGTAATTTTTTCCATGACTTCCTTTCACTGACACGTTGCTGAAGTAGACATGAAATCCCTCCTAATAACGATATAAAATCTAAGCTACTGGAAGAGTTGTTCAAAAATTGGGTATAGAGCCAGCCCTGAGGGCCTACTGGTTAAAGTTTGGTACACTCTGCTTCTGCGGCCTGGGTTCACTTCCTAGGTGTAGAACCACACCACTCGTCTATCAGTAGCCATGGGGTGGTGGCAGCTCATGTAGAAGAGCTGGAAGAATTTACAACTATACACAACTATCACCAGGGTTTGGGTGGGGGGAGGTGAAGAAAAAGGAGGAAGATTGGCAACAGATGTTAGCTTAGGGTGAATCTTCCCCTACAAAAAGAAAAAAAATGGGTGCAAACAGATTAACATGGGAGACTTTTTCAATAATATGGATGCACTTGTCTTCATTTTTTCCTTCTTCTTATCTTGGTACTACCCCCACATCCAGCTCCATTTTTGAAAACAGAAAGAAGAGAAATGGGAGCCATTCTGTCTAGAAAATTTCCCCAGAGAATTCTGATATGTACCACCTTCCCACCTAAGAACTAGAACTTTGGAAGATTTCGGTATTCTAAAACCAGCTTCCACGCTTATAACCACTATGCAATAGAGACTTCTCAGTACTAATTACTGGATATTCTACAGAAGAATGCTTTAGGAATTGCTGGAAATATATGAATAATCTTGGAGTCAGTATAGCATAGTGCCTGATAGAATGGGCTCTAGAGTCAGAAGACTGAATTTAAAATCAGGCTTCACCACTTATTAGCCATATGACTAAGATCAAGTTTTTAACCATTCAGGTCCTGTCATCATCTGTAAAATAGTGATAACAGAACCTACATAACAGGATTGTTATAAAATGAGATAACGTATGTAAAGCTCTGAATATAGTGCCTTGAATGTAGTAAAAGATCAAAAAATTTCAGTTGTGATAATGGTGATAATGAGGATGATTGTATGGGGAGTAATGGAATGATTCCCCAGCAAGTTCAAGCAGGAAGGGTACATCAGAATCCACTAGGAACATGTAGATCTGGAGCTGCGATAAACTGTAAATCACACCAGAGGTGACAGGTCTAACAAATGAATGTGCTACTCACTGAAGAATAACAGTGGGCTCAAGTCTTCAAAAGGATATAGAAACTTAAGACAATGCTTTTATTCCCAAATTAACAGGACAGTGTTTGCTGACTCGCCAAGTTTCAGACATCCCAGGACCATGCAGAATTTAGCCCACCACCCTCCCAAAATTGATCTAAAATGTAATCATGTAACTTGGAGACAGTAGTTCACAGATACTTATATGTGGGAAGATGTGACTATGCAACACAATTTCTGTCCCAAATATAGAAATTTTTTTTGGTCTAAGGAACATAGCAAAAAAGAGATTTATACAAACTGATTTGTTCTATATAAGGACACATTTTTATAAAGAGGAGAGCAGTATAATATTGTTGTGTTAAATGTCTCTACCCTCTCTCTATCTTGAATATTCTCATGGAGTATAATGAAATGAGAAGAAAGTTTTCACCTGATGACTACGCTGTCTTCAAAAATTGTTTGCAGACGCTCGCTTCACTAGCACTTATCCAGAGATGGCCAAAAAATTTTCAGTCCAATGGAACTCTGATCACTTGGTATCAAATGCTTATGGCCTCTAGTTGAGAAATATTTGTGAGTCTATGTCCTAGCTTAACAGAAATGAGAGTTGGGATCAATAAATATACCCCACACATGTAGGAGGGGAAATAGTGGTTGATGTTAGCAGATATTTTCTATTCTTGTTCTTGTCCCAACCATGATTTTCTGACAGTAATGGTAAAATGGTTGGAAGAACTGGCTGCTCTGAAATACGAGTAGGAACGGAAAGAGCCACATGACATGAACCACGGAAGGACCTCGTTCTATCTTCACCACCTGCATGCAAACGCACTGGCCTTGGGAAGTGACTAGGCTACTGGAAAGTCTTCATCTTCTTCAGTTGCTGGTGACCTATTCATAGTGGTTGCTTCTATTTAAACTGAACTCAAAGGCCATTCCCTGAACGGGAGGTAACATCAAAAATTGTCCTGGGAAACACTGTAAAGGAATATTTAGTATCTGTCTTTATTAACACTGGTGACCTATTTTAAAGTTAACCTTTCCTTTCCATATCCAACCAGCCCAGACCATTTCAAACAATAAATTGAATCAAAACATCTACACAGTATATACTAGAGAGAAAACTACTCTCCTGACACCTAATTAGCCTGGAATAGCACTTCATTACACAGTATTGCCTTGTCTTATTCATGCATTCAATATTTTTGTCATATTCACAATTTTATTTCTATATCAATTCAGCAGAAAGAATTAATCTCATACCATGGTAAAAATGCATTTCTTTACAGCATTGTTAAATAAAATGTCCTGGGTGTCATTTCATTCAGATGGATGAAATCAAAGCCAAGGACAGGATCATCTTTTCCCTGGAAAAGGAACTGGAGACCCAAACAGGTTATGTACAGAAGCTCCAACTGCAGAAGGAAGCTTTGGATGAACAACTCTTTCTGGTCAAGGAGGCAGAGTGTAACATGAGCAGTCCCAAACGAGAAATTCCAGGAAGAGCAGGAGATGGCTCTGAACACTGCAGCAGTCCTGTAAGTCTTCAAGTTGAAGTTAAGAACTCGGGAGTCATCTTTTATTTAGCTCCCAAGTTTTGCTATTCACTTAAGCTCTTTTCCTGCTTATTACACAGAAATCAATTCTACCTCCTACTATAAAAAGGGCTACTGTCTTGGGAACAGGGTTTTCTAAACTGAGAGACAACAAAGTGGGCTGCACTGCATTAGCAGATCACAAGAGAGTTACCAATCTTTTTAAATCTTTCATAGACTTTTTCTAGCCAAGTGATAACCATCCAAAAGTCAGCCTATTATAAGAATCATAGATTAGATGAAAATACTTTGCCTCTTGCCAAGACTGGTAGTTTTCCCTTGTGTGAACAATTGGGTTGCAAATTGGTAAAGATGGTTATCATCTACAGGGGTCAAAATATTTAACTGTATAAAAGACTAAACCGTTCATAATCATCATCTGAAAGCTTCTGGTCTGACTGAACTTGCCACTTATTTCTGTTGATTTTCATCGTTTTATCTGAGAAATTATTTTCAGAAGTGCAGCAATAAAAATCAGCTTATATATAGTTGACTTTCATATCTTATACCTTTCAAATGATTTAGCTGCTAAAAAGATGAAAGTGTATTATTTAGGAACTGAGATAGGCTCCAAAATAGTACTTAGAACAGAGTAATGAATAATTTATGAATTGGTCTTCGGGATATATATATATATATCCCAGTAGGTGGTAGAAAGAGTACTGAACTAGGATTTAGCAGATGTAAGTTTTAGTTCTATCACTGATACTTACCTGCAGTGTAGCAAAATTGTCAAGAAATGGGCTCTAGAGTCAGACACTTTAGTCCAAATCCTGGATCTGCCATTTACTGTGTGACCTTAGGTAATCGGTTCGCTGCGCAGAGTTTCCTCCTCTGTAAAATAGAAGCAATAGTGGTACTCCGTAAGCTGGTCTAAGGTCTAGAAAAGGTGATAGGTAAAATGCTGAGCACAGGGCCTGTCACATAGTTAGCATTCAATCCATATTTGTTGTTGATCTACTGATAGTAGCCACGAGACCTTGAGCAAGTTATAACCTCCTTGGATCTAACCCGTTCTGCTGAATCCTCTAGGATATGGTGAATCGAGGGATATAATGTATATGAAACTGTTTTGTCAACAGTCCAGCACTATCAAAATATAAGATGATAATAGAATTGCAGGTTTATAATGGTCCTATGGACTCCAGAGCATAGAATTAATCCATGACTGCTGTGTGTAAAGGGATCCATGGCAATTATGCCAGTGAGAAAGCCCCTTGCTCTGGGCAGAATATACCAGCGAAGGCTATCCTATAATCTGCTGCTTTTGATACATGAAGGTAATGCACCAACCTTCTCATTCTGACCTTTTTCTTCAGGAGTATGCGGGAATTTACAAAGCCCATCGCTAGCCCCTACTCTATCCTCTCTTTGGCTAAGTATAATAGCAGGACATCTGTCTAAGCTATGGGGAGCAACGTGCAGCCATGACACCAGGAATGCTCCTTGAACCTCATGTAATCACAACATGACCTCTGTCTCACAGCTCACAGATCTGATAAGCTGGTCCAACCATCTACCACTTCTCCTGCCAGGACTCAGGTCTGCAAGGAATATCTGCCACATGGAATTCATTTGCAGTTTCAACCAGGCTTGGTCTTAAACCCAAGTGGTGAATATAGGTGTTAGAAGAGGGTAAATATTTACTCTACTCTGAATAAGAGAACATTCTACTGTCACCTCATAAGCCAGATGAAAGGAACTGAGCCTATCACTTGGATGAGTGGTATTCCAAAACTTTGTGAAAAGTGTTATTGAAGAAGTACTCATTTTAATTTTCATGTGTAGGATTTGAGAAGAAATCAAAAGAGAATAGCTGAATTGAATGCCACAATAAGAAAACTAGAAGACAGGAATACCTTGCTTGGAGATGAACGAAATGAATTGGTGAGTTCTAAGTGGAATTTTTTATTTTATTTTTTGTTAAGCATTTTGTTATAGAAGTATATATGATGTTTAACATAATAAAAGTGCACAAATAATAAAAGTATAGCTCAATAAATATGCCCAGAGTGATGAACCCTTATAATCACTACCATTTCTCTTGCTAGTTCTGTCAATTTTGCTTTATATATATTTGAAGTTATGTTACTAGGTACATATAAATTAAGATTTGTTTTATGTCTTCATCATTATGAATTTTTTTGTCTCTAGTAATACTTCTTGACTTAAAATCTTTGATATTAGTTGAACTATATCAGATTGTTTTCTTTTAGTGTTTTCATGAATATATATATATTTACGTTCAACATTTCTCTATTGTATTTAAAGTCTATCTTTTAAAAGGAACACTTTGTTGGCTACTATGGAACCATGGTTATTAATGTATGGTATGGTAGAATTACAGATGTTTCCTTTTCTTTGTGTTTATCTGCATTTTCAAGAAATAGCTTGTACTAGGTAAATTAAATATTAAAAACCCTTGTCATTGACCTCCAGAAACTTATGTCTTCCCAGTTAAAACGCGTGCGGGAAACTGAAAAACAATGTAAACCTCTTCTGGAAAGGAACAAGTGCCTCGCCAAGAGAAATGACGAACTGGTGGTGTCTTTGCAGCGCATGGAAGAGAAACTGAAAGCCGTTACCAAGGAAAATTCAGAAATGGTGTGTAAAGCTCTGCAAAGCTGCAGCTCCCGTCTTTATATGACGCCAGGAACCTGACTTATTGTCTTTCTCAGTTTATTCTTAAAATACAATGCTATTTACAAAAGTAAATTTGGATTTTTCCTTATGTAAGCTAGGAAACTTTAAGGAGGAAACCAAGAGAAGGTTGCTGGCTTTAAATTTTATGGGGTTTCTAAATTTGCAGAATGGTAGGAGTGCTTCCAGGAATCGGCACACTCTCCAAAAGCTCCAAAATAGAGAAGCAGTTTCAACATAGCTCCTCAACCACAGAAACCTCCTTCCAAGAATCTCACTAATGTGCTCTTTACATAACTGTACAGTGGCTACTCCTCATCTTCTCAGATCTTGCATAATAGTTGAGGAACAGATGCCACCGTTTGTATTATGTATGGACGAGTGAGAGGCAAATGCTCTCCTTAACAGACTTCCGGTACAGCTATTGAGAGCTTCAGACATTCCCAATTCTTTTGACTCATTACAGCAGATGAAATGTGCCTGAGGGTTCTAGTTGGTGTGTGTATTGAAGGTGGGCAATTTTCAAATTTAGCTGAAGCCACATAAAGTTTCTATGAATAGTATGTTAACCACTAAAGTCTGGGATTTTTAAAGTCTCCACCGGTACTTTCTTCTTTTCCATCCAGAGAGAAAAGATAACATCCCATCCACCCTTGAAGAAACTAAAATCTCTGAATGACCTCGATCAAGCTAATGAAGAACAAGAGACAGAGTTTCTAAAACTTCAGGTCATTGAGCAGCAGAACATCATTGATGAGCTCACAAGGGTAGGTCCTTTTCAATCTATAAACTCTAAGCAGTTCCCGAAAACAAGTAGCCAAGAAATCAACACTGGAAATGCTTAATAATTTTGGATTGGCCCCAAAGGCCCACGTTCATATGTTCAGGATGTAAATAGGTTCAAGGGACTCTATTCCAAAAATACTTTATATTATTAAACTATTTTATGCCTTTTCAATTATAATCCTGTGTTAAGTAATTTGGTAACACAAATAATAGCTGCAAAGGACAGCTGTTATTTGTTTTGAAAAAGATTTAATTATGAAACCCAAAAGTTGCCAAGTTAAAAGAACTTTCAAATGCATTGTTATGTGAGCAGGTGGGTCATGTGGGTATATCTTGTAATTGCTTTCCAGTATCAAGATTCTGAGGCTCAGAAATTAAATATCTTGCCTGCAGTAACAGGACCATATGCCTCTTATTCCCCAACACCTAATTCAGTCTCTAGTCTCTTAAATATTTGTTAAGTGAACAGCAATGTCATAATTACGTGACAGACCTGAAATTCCAGTCCAGAGCTTCTGAGCATGACTCAGTACCTGCTGAAGTAGGTAGAGAAGTTATTACTCCCATTTGCATCTGACCGAGGTCTGTGTTACCAACAACAGTGGACTAAGACCTTTAGATGCCTTTGGGTTTCTTCCTTGCCTCTCTGTCTTTATTCTGTGAATGACATGTCTGGTCACTCTCACTTCTCCACCAATACAGGGCCTAGGGGGTTGAGGAACTAGTGGTGAGAGGTTTTAGGCAATAGTCTCCAGAGTACGGCAAGCAAGATGATTTACTGCCGTTGAGGGAAGAAAAGATTATAACTTCAGGGGCTGGCCGCATGACCAAGTGGTTAAAGTTCTGTGTGTTCCACTTCGGTGGCCTGGGTTCACAGGTTCAGATCCCAGGTGCGGACCTACTCTACTCGTCAGCCATGCTGTGGAGGGATCCCACACACAAAGGAGGTGTTAACTCAGGGCTAATCTTCTTCAAGCAAAAAAAAAGAGGAGGATTGGCAACAGACGTTAGCTCAGCGTGAATCTTCCTCACACACACACAGAAAGATTATGACTTCTGTTTATAATTATTTATGGTTCACCATTTTTAAATTTCTATGTTGAGTATATGTTACAATACATATACTATATTAGGAGGGTGTTCTAAGTATAAATTTTTAAAGTTTCAGATATATTAAGGTTGCATGATCAAAATATTTTTACTGATAAAAATCAGAAATCAAAAAGGTTAACACAACTGGCTTAAACCAGATTATTTATTAAATGTGGCCTTCTGAAGCACTATGAGCCCCACTTCACTTCCATATCCTTAATAACTCATAAATCTCACAGATTCACTAGTCCAGGAATTTGCTTGGCTTTGATTACCCTGAGTCTAAGATGAAAGTTTCTTAGAGAATTTTGACATGTTCAGACATGTCAACCAGACTTTCAGAGACCCAAGTGTCACTTATTCCATCTACCTTTGAATTTGTACAGTAACTACGTGGAGTACTTAGTAAATGAACACCAAATTCCCAGGATATCTGCATTCGCAACAAAAATGAATCAAGAAATGGATCATTATTTCTAGATATTCTTTGAGTTTCCCACAAAATTCCACTGGCAATGCCCCCTGCAAAAAATAACCACTAGATGATTCCAACCAAGTAGACATTCTGTCCCCATCTTCAGAGGCTGTAGGTGAGAACAAGGATCTAATAGTCAAGAGATAGCTTTCTATGCCTTTCAAGTGATTAAATGAAGATAATAAGGTTTTACTTTATTTTGAAGTGCTATTTTTTCAACACAAGTTTAAAGTGATTTAGGGTCTGAGAAAACTAAAGAATTGTGCTTTGGGAGAATATGAGTAACTCTTTCCAGAGCTACTTGATCTTCAGTGTAAAACAAAGGACTCTGATTAGGAATACTGTGCTCTTCTGAGTATGAGGCGCTCAGATCCACGGAGATTATCGGGAATAGTTATATTCCTACTTTGAAAGATTTAATTATGAAACACAAAAGTTGCCAAAATTTACAAAACATAATCTTATTTTAAATATTGTAATGCTTCAGGGGAAAAACAACTTTGTCTTTGCAAAAATAAATAAATAAATAACCTATGGGGAAATATGTACGAACTCAAGATCTGAAAAGTCCTTCATCTGTTTTCCAGGACCGAGAAAAGCTCATCCGTAGGAGAAAGCATAGAAGAAGTTCCAAGCCAATTAAGGTAATGAGAAAACTAGGTTATCAGGCTTTTGTCCCAAACAGAGAAGCGAGGCTTGCCAAGGAATCTTGCTGCAAAAATGTGATAAATTAGATGTTCCTGAACTGAAGCAAACCATAGGCTTTATTTGCTTGAAGAAAATCTCTTCTCTTGATAGTTCTCAGAAGTCCAAAAATGACTGTGTTGTGGATTTTCACTTAAATGGATTTGCTTTAATATGACTTTGTCTGAATGAAGAAGCCACCAGGTTTGACATAGAAAGGATTATCTGAGAAATTGAAGAGTCACATTCCAGGAACGTGCAAGAGATACATATGATTTGATGTCCCCCATTGAATAATATTAACATCTGATATCCACCTATAATTAATTAATATATTTTTATTACTCACTTGCACATTATTATTGATAATGATACTCCCAAGCCACCAATATCTGCATAGCCTCTTATAATCCACAAAATTTTGTTATTTAGTCTGTTTGATTTTTGTTTTTAGCAAGTATATAACTTGATTTGAATATGGAATTAGATGATAAGACAGTACCTGATAATCTCCTTCACATAGATGCCTAGAGTTTCAGAGTCTCTTGATTGTATTTTAAATACTGGAAAGAGTATATCACATGAACTCATCATTGTATAAAACGTAATATAAAAAAGGCTCCAATGTGTCTATGAAAAGAGCCAAATATTAATAAATCTTCTGCAAAAACATCAGAAGTGAAATAATATAGGACAAACGTTTACTGGAATTACTGTGTTCATGCTCAATATTTTCATTTCATCAAAGAAGCATTGAAGGATCCATGTCTTCTATGTTCGTTTACATGTCTGCCAGTTGACAGTGCTTTAATAGTATATCAACCTTCCCCACGTTTAGTCGTGTCAGTAAATATGTACTTTCCTTCCATTAGAGGCCTGTTTTGGACCCATTTATTGGCTATGATGAGGACTCCATGGATTCAGAGACATCGTCCATGGCCTCATTTAGAACAGACCGAACCCCGGCTACTCCTGACGATGACTTGGATGAAGTAAGCTTATCCTCTTCTCTAGTCTTTTGTGATATTGTCACCAAATCTTTCCTTTAATGGGGAGAAAAAATATTTCACTTTTTTTCTCCTTTATGAACGGCACAAAATGATTTCACAATTTTGAGACCACGCTTGACTTTGTTACCTCTTAGAAAATAGCTTCCCCTATATCCTGTAGCCTTAGAAACTTCTCTGAAGTCAGCTCTGTAACTTGAAGACTTCTTTCAAAATGGAAGTTACTCTCCCACATTCTTCATCTGGGGAAGGCGTGAACCAAGGAAGAAGCCTAGAAGAACGAGCTTTTAGATACAATCTATGACAGCATTTAGCAAACTGTACACCATAGCCCATCTTCATCAGGGTCATCTAGGGGTTCAATAACAATGAAGATTCCTGAGCTCTACCACGCAACTCCTGACTCAGGTTCTTGGGGGTGGAACCCCCAAATCTGCATTTTTCGCAAAACTCCCTGGCGATTATATTGTATTCTGAAGTTTGAAATCTAAAGCTGTAAAACTATGTTTTTGTAATTTATCTGGGGAAGAAGCTATTGGATATGAATGTGTTTTAAAGACTTGAGACTAAAACTCTGAATATCGTTTCCTCAAATTTGGATCCAAATCTGGGTATAAGTTCTCATTTGGATCCAAAATTGACTGTGATTCAAGCCCAAATAGGTAATAGTCAGAAATGAATAAATAAACAAATGCTTCTTTTACTAAAATAAATACTTAATTATTTCTCCAATGTCCTTCTTGAAAGTATTATAGTATTTGTGTCCATACAAATACTTTAGTATTAAGAATAAAATCACATAGAATCCAAAATCAAACTTTTAACTTCTCTTTAAAAAGTGGACAAATGTCAATATTTCACATTGAACACAGGACCTTAACGTAACATAATTATTGTTCGGCTTTTTTTTTTTTTAACCTCAAGAGTTTGGCAGCTGAAGAATCTGAGCTACGATTTCGACAATTAACAAAAGAATACCAGGCCCTCCAGAGAGCATATGCCCTCCTACAGGAGCAGACTGGAGGCATCCTCGATGCTGAAAGAGAAGCCAAGGTTAGTGTACAGCTGGGGAGGGTGCTCTGAATTGGCCTACAGCAGTCGTGGCATGAAAGTATCATGAACATAACAATATCAGTAGGATAGCTGTCCCTGTACCTTTCTCTCCACTGCAGCTTTTGAACTGTTTTATCTTTTATGTCAACAAACCTTGGATCTGGAGACGTTAGAACCAGCTTAGATCGATGCTTTGTTCCTTTAAAGATAATCGAGTATACAGCTCTCATTCTTGCTGTTTGAAAACTGAACATTTTCAAAGCTAGACAATATTGAATTTTCATAATCCATTTTTTTAATGAATTCTTGCTTAGAAAAAAAAACTTTTATCTTTCAAAAACAATAGTTAGTCCGTTTCTTTTCTTAGTTAATAAATGCACAGCATTATATTGACAGCTTACCAAGAATTTTCACTGGCAATATCTCATTTAATCTTTGTGACAACTCTTTAAGGCAAGTATTTTATGAAAGAGGAATTTGAGGCTCAGAGAGATTGAGCTAATTGCCCAAGATCACACAGCTAATAAATAGAAAACTGGAATTCCAATTCAAATCTTACCAGTCAAATGTTCTTTCTATTATGTCACAACTGCCTCTCACATGCCCATTTCAAAAAAAAGAAAGACACACAATAGTAATACTTAAAATTTATTGAGTGCTTGCTGTGTTCCAGGCATTGTGCCACGCACTTCACATACATTATCTCATGTAATCCTAAAACAACCCCATGAGTTAGATACTATTATATATCCTTTTAACAGGAGAGAAAATAATAGCTTAGAAGGGGTTAAATGTAGCTGAGTTGGGTTAAAACCGGAATATGTAGCATAGGTAGATTAAAGCTAGGATTTGAACCCAGTCCTTCTGAGTTCAGAGTCATACTCACCAAGCCATAGCTGCCTCATAGAGTAGTTTACATGGGCCAAGGAGGCATGGGACCACCCAGTGACTTTATCCTATTTCTCATTTAGAGACTCTACGGTATGCTGAGGAGAGTTATTGGAACTATTGTTACTTGTTTAGTGGGAAAGGATAGATATTACAGTTATATATTTTAAATGGTAGCATACACACATGCATGCACGTACATATACATAAGTGAGTAAACATATTTTTAAAAACCCACTGTTTTTTATTTGGAATGGACAGGACAGCAATCATTAGAAAGGGATGTAAGTATGTGCCTTCATATTTATGCCCTTATACTATAATAGTTGTGGTTTTCATTGTCAGTATTTACTAAGCATTCTTACCAACATAAGACTAGTCAATTAGAATAATAGCATAGGCCGTGTTTTTTGGCGAGGTGATGACATAGAAACCAGTTCTCTTTCTCTCGTCTCACTCTCCCATCTAAATAACAGTGTAGCATTATCTCTAGCCATTAAAGTAAAAAAACTTACCATTCTGAGCAAAACAGTCTAAAACAAATCAAGATGTTAGAAAAAGAGCAACAGAGTAAATTCAAACAAAGTAGAAATGCAGAAATAGATAATATAGATGAAAGTGCATCAATGAAAACGAAAGATATAGTCATTTCAATATAAGAAATAATAGATTATACTCAATACCCATTCAAAGTTAAAATAATTCTTAGCAAAACTAAGCTTGGAATTTTTGGAATTTTTTTAACCTGATAAAGGTAAATATAATATTTAACAGTCTAAAGAAACATTCTCCTCACAATGAAGAATAAGAAAAGAATACCTACCATTGTTGATTTTATTCAACTTTGTATCTAAGAACCTATTTAGATCATAAGATAAGAAAAAAATATATGTATGGGCAGAAAGCAAAAAAACTAATTTTTCACAGAAAATAAGATTGTATAGGGAGAGAACACAAGAGAATCTAAAAACAGATTGCTAGACTAATTGAAGTAAGCTTGCTCTGTTCAAGATTATTGTTCAAAACTGCTGATACACCCACACACAAACACATGAGAGATACATACATAGATCTGGATTTAGAGTTAGATTTAGATATAGGGCACAAAGTTGGCTCTGAAAGAATGGGAAGATTTTGGAGAGGCAAAATAGCAGAAGGTTTTCCAGAAGGGCAACTACAGAGAGAAGTGGAGAGTTACAAGACATATTCAGGAAACAAGGCGATCTCGAATAGATGATGGACTCTGTTGATGAGTAGTGGGGAAAAATTGGAAATATCATGGGAGTTCTCAAATCCCAAGCTAAAGAGTTTGAATTTTAATCTGACGGTAAAGGGAGCCACTGGAAGTTTTAAGCAAGAATTTAGATAATAAAAATACATTTTTTAAAGATTCTTTGATCTTAGAAAATTATTTTTTTTCTCACTTGTTGAGTTCTAGTCAAGGATAATGAAGGAAGAAAAATATTGAATTGTGACTTTACTTACTGAGTTCTGGATTTTGATTTCACTAGGCTCAAGAACAGCTCCAAGCAGAGGTGCTAAGGTATAAAGCCAAAATTGAAGATCTGGAAGCGACTCTGGCTCAGAAAGGGCAGGTAGGCATTTGGTTGCTGTCACTTCTGCAGATGCAGACAATTCGATCTGGCCTTCCTCTAGATCACCCTGTGCATGGGCCGCATCCAGGACACGGCTTGGCTCTTCACAGTGACCTTTCTCAAACTGTGTCAGAATGTTCAGCTCTATGTTTCTGTCCCTGGTGTTTTTCTGGCCAGAGTGTGAACCCAGCTACAACAGCGAATGAGGTTGGGCAAGAAAGAGAATGCCAGAGGAAGAGGAGGCCTGTACAAACAGCCTAGAGTGGTCATAAACTGCTCAAAGACCCACCCCTCAAGCTGCATTCTCTGCCTCTATGCTACATTTATGGTTCTGCATTTTACTGTTCTCCATCCATATGTATCTAGCCTGTGTGCATTCTGACCCTTTTCACTTTTTGCCTGTGTGGTCACTTCTGAGTCCCCAGAAGGCTGGTCCTGGATTATTCAGACTGAAAAAGTTAGAGATAGTGAGTGGCAATGAAAAGGGGGTTAAATTTTCCTGGCAACTTTGGCCCCAATGTCTTTGAATAAGGAGCTGGCAGGGGTGGGTGTCATTTCCCAGTCGTTGGCAGGCAAACAAACTGGGTGAAAAGAAGACAGCTCTGGCAAAGTGGTTTGACGACACATGCTCTTTCGTGCCACTCTGAAATGCTGACTGCGCGATATTCTTTGTCAAACAGGATTCACACTGGGTAGAAGATAAACAACTTTTCATTAAGAGAAACCAGGAGCTTTTAGAAAAGGTATGTTGGGCGTAACACCCTAGTGGGGCAGAGGAGAAAATGATGAGAGATCCAGGAGCAGCAGGGGGTCCTCTCAGGAGTGGCACAGGGGCCAGGGGAAGGGGAGGCTTTTCTGGCGCTGCACTCTCCTCTGCTGCGTGCTCAACTGCATCCCTGTCACCGCCATCTCCATCAGTTGAGTGGCACGTGTGCATGGCTCTGCGCTGGGCATTGTGCCGACTTGAAAGGATGTGATCCCTGAAACCTATCAATTTGTTAACAATATATATATATACTGTATATGTACTGTACATATATATATATATATACACCCATATGTGCACACATTCTATGTGGTTGTCCATCTACAAAAACAATATGAGTAGGACTTGTTATTTTGTGCAAAAAAGTGACAGACTATGACTCCAAGACCATGCTGCAACCTAGCTTAGACTGTGTTCTCATTTTTAACCTTTTTGCTAATCTTGGCTGTTTATACATTTTTTTAATGAAAGAAATTTTTAAAAGATGCATCCAAAGCACAAAACAGCATGTCCAGAAGGTTGATCAACAAATCAAGACACAAAAGCATGGTTTAGGCCCAATACAGTCATGTGTCGCTTAACGACAGGGATACGTTCTGAGGAATGCGTTGTTTGCTGATTTCGTCATTGTGCAAACCTCATAGAGTGTACTTACACAAACCTAGATGGTATAGCCTACCGCACACCTAGTCTATATGGTACTAATCTTATAGAACCACCATCATATATGCATTCTGTCATTTACCAAAATGTCGTTATGCGGCACATGACTGTAGGTATAATTAATTTTGGTTATCTAAACATGGGCTTTTGATTTGAGGCAATGAAATACAACAGATATTTTAAGTTCAGAAGTGGCTTTTCCTTTGGTATTTACCTTCCACAAATCTAGTGAGAAGACTGCAAAATAATCTTATATTGTTCTTGACAAAAAAAGAATTTGAAAACCCATTTGAATAAGGGAAACAATTGTGGAAGTCGACCCCCAGTTATGTAGAAATTATTTTAGAATTATTTCTACCAAGATTCACTAGCCTTGGCAAGCAATAAAAATTAACCACAACACCCCTGTAAGCATGAGAAAGGAAAGAAGATACATGTCCTCCCTCCCCCCTGGGCCGACAAAGTTAGGGCATCCTATCTCACTTTCCATCTCATGAGAGACAGAGCTGATATCTAGAAGGTGGATGGGTATTCCAGGATTGAGAAGAGGTACTCTCAGAAAGGTTAAGCATCCCTGTACAGAAACTTCATCAGACATTGGCTCTGGTCTATGAATTGCAACCTTGTGAACCACTGATCCAACTGCCAGTGCTAACCACTAGAACCAGGGATCTCCCCAAATACCCCACCTCTGATCCCAATCCAAGACTCTAAAAAGCAGAATCTCTTTTGTGATCTAAGTCAACTTCTAAAATCTTTCGAAAGTTCACTAGACGACAAAAATCTAGTGTAAAAAACTTGAGTTGACTACATTAATTAATGTCTCGTGATATCTCACTGTCTCCCCATTTTTATTTTCCTATATCATGAGACTTTGAGAAAAAGAGGATTTTAGTAGTCTCAGAGAGGCCCAGTAATGTATTATTAAATTTCCTTATCGTCTACAAATGATTTCCATTATGTCTTCTGTCTGATTTCCTTTGGTCTTAATTTCTTTGGGCTAAAAGGGGAATTTTTGAGCTCAGGCTTCTAAGAGTAAAAGAAAACCAAAGTGACAAGAAAGTTAAACATCCTACTTCAAGTGTGTATACTCGGGAAAGTAAGATTTATCCTGTGATAAAAATCCTGGTACTTTATTTCTAACTTTAATATTTTAAGTAGTTACTGTGCATAAGGCCCACCCACACGGCTAATATCAAAGGCAGTGCAAAACCTATTGCAGGACAGGAAAATGTTCTGATCCCTAGTAGACATGGACCCTGTCTATAGGGGAAGGCATGTTTGTACACAGCTAACTTAATTCCATGTTTCATCAGGTTATACTAGAGGTCCTATAGGAAAACAGAAGGAAGAGGTGTCACTTCTCAGTGGGTAGACAGGGGAAGCCTCTTATAGAAGACGTTAGAGCTTGGTGTTCAAGGAAGTGAAAGATTTCCTCATGTAGAAAAGGAAATGAGGGAGCATTTTTCAGGCAGACAGATGAGCACAGACAGAGCTCCTGGTGTGGTCAGTCCCTAGGGTAAATCTGGGTTTCTAGATTCTAGTGTGTGTGTGATCATATGTTGTGGTGTGTGTAGAGATGACAGTGACAACATTTAAAACTGGAAAGCTAGGTGGCGACCAGATTATTAAGATTTTTGAATTCCATATTGAGGAGTTCTGTATGTGTTCTGTATGTGATCAAAATTGTTTTTAAAAAATTATTTATCCGATGACTTGTAACTTCAGAAATAAGAGGTGTCCGTCTCTACTATTTACACCATTAATTCTAGTTCTAAGACACTGTCCTTGACCTACAGCAAGGGCGTAGTGAGTACTCTCCGATTCAGTATTCACAGGCTCCCTAGACTTTATCTCGATGAATGGAGATGTCCCCCAGCATTTTCCTCTATGACCCAAACAACTCAACTGAAGGGTAACTAGAAGGAAAGCCAAAGACTTCTTTTCTTCACATGTCCGTGGGATCCATTTTCATAGTCTAGATGATTTATTCACTGAGTAATGAATGCTAGCCATGCTTGCTTTGCAAATTGGAGATGCTCTTTGCAATGTTCACCTAACTTGAGGATTTACTTTATTAGATAGAAAAACAGGAGGCAGAAAATCACCGGTTACAACAGGAACTGCAGGATGCCAGAGACCAGAATGAGCTGCTGGAGTTTCGAAACCTAGAGCTAGAAGTAAGGAAATGATGATGATAATGATAATAAAAATAATCGTGCCGATTAACGTGCACTGAGCACGTCCTATGTGCGAGGTGCTGAATTAAACATTTCAGATGTATACTCTCTTTGGCCCTCACAACCACAATCAAGATTTTATAGATGAGGCAACTGAGGTTAAATAATTTGCCCAAGTCCTGTGACCAGTAAGTGGAAAAGCATTGATGCAACTCAGAATTACCTGCTCAGACACTGTACTTTTCAATACCATTGCCTTTATGAACAAGCTAATGAATAATTTTTAAATGATTTAAATAACAGATTTCAAACTTTATCAATATTTTATTGCTTTTAAATAATCGTTTCCATCCATTGCATTCTGACTCATAATAATGTTATCTCAAGAACTATATTTCAAAATATGCTGTGTACAAAAATATTTTATTGTTAGACTCTTGAATTTGTAAGTAAACTTTTTGTTCTATAATGCATTTATGCAAAAGGCTCGGAAGCAAAGTTACTTGTTTTAGGAAATACTTTGGTTAATCTCATCAAATTTCAGAGTCTTTTTTTTTTAAGTTAAGCGTATCAATCAAATTGTATCTTGATATCGTACAGAATGTGGTTTAGAGTCTGATTGAACGTACGTTGATACGTAAAAATAAGAAAAATTACCGTTTGATTTTTTTGTTATTTTGCCACCAATTTCTTCTCGAGGTTATTTCAAATTAGGTTGGGATAGAGTTAGCAGTTGCTATTCCTCAGCGAGGAAGAGTTGTCATCTTTGGTAGCCCACGTATCCTGCTATTAAGACTTGAGTGGATTGAATCCACAAAAGGCTGTTAGCCGCCATAAAACTTCATGGCTAAAGACCATTCTTTGTGACACCTAAAAGCTCTAAATATTCATCCAGTTTAAGTTAGAACTCCACTTCCCACATTTCTCTGATCAAAAAACTTACAAGACTGATGACACCATCTATAAATTCTCCCATACCTCTTCATTGACTAATCAGTTCCTTTCCATTCAATTTAAGTATGAACATCCTGAGTTCAATTTTTTTTTTGCCAGATGACATATTTGATAAACTGCTGAAATAGCATAAAGAGAGAACACAGACAACTGGCTTAGAGTTTAATCAGTTGCTGCTTTTTAAAATTTTTTTTAATTCCCATATATTCTTCACTGTATTTCAAGGAAAGAGAGAGACGATCCCCTCCATTTAATCTACAAATTCACCCATTCTCAGATGGCGTGAGTGCACTACAGATCTACTGTATGAAAGAAGGTGTGAAGGTAGGCAGATATCTAATTTTTTATGTTTGTAGAAAGTAGAAAAAGTGGGAATTGGAAAAGGGGAGGCTGCTCATGACTGTTTTGTCTCTCAGTCACTGGATATCATTTTGATACAAACTGTGTAGGAAGTGGAAATAATCCCATCTATTGGAAAGTCAATAGAACATAAACAAAATAAATATGTGACAAATGTATGAATGGTAACAGCAAAGAGCACAGGAAACCACGATTATTTAGACCAGAGTAACATAAAGAATGAGAGAGAAGCAAAGTATTTATTAAGATAACTTCCCATAATTATCTTGAGGAAATATTAGATTCAGTACTTCAAGAAACATATTTCAATTATGCCAGATAAAAAAGTATTTGTTGAGTCCCTTTGTTGTGCTGTTCTAGGTGCTTTGGAATTCATAATCTTGAAATTTCAGAATTAGAAGAGGCCTTGAAATCATCTAGTCCACCATCTCTTTTGATATGTTTAATTTAGGGAGGATTTCTCTTTTGGAAGGACTTACAGTTTATAACGTGTTGCTCACTTAGACAAAATGTAACTATCTTTAGTGATATTGGAATACATTTTAAATATTAAGGTGGCATGGAGGTGGCTCCATCTCCTGGAAAATATATTGTCCTTCAATGTAATGGAATCACATGGTGAAGATCTGATCCAGAGGTAAAGCTAGGAAGCCTCCCACTCTTCCTGGTCTCTCCTTGACCTTCTGCATGGCCCTTCCTGCCCCTACTCTGAGCTGCCATATAGACCTGCTTCAGTTGCCTTCTCTCTACCTGAGGTCGAGCTAGACTTTCCCCTTCCTGGTGGTAGGGCTCTTCTGTACTGCGATCTGAACATAAGTAAGAGGAGAAGGTGGTACTAATGAGGTAAAAAGTGTGTGTGGTGGGGATTACGTAGTAAAATTGTGCTTCCTTATCTTCCATCTTAAACCACTCTCCTTGTGTTTAAACTTCTGGTCTTCCTGGGCTGCATGAAAATTTTTAAACCAAAGCAATTTTTTGATTCAATTCTAATTAAATGAAAAGCTCTTTACTTTAGATGCTTTTTCTTAGATAAATCACAACCAACCTAATCCAATGGATGTGATTTATGTCCAAAGGAACGCTTCCAAATGGAGTTCAGCTGCTTCAAACTGCCTCAAGGAATATAATAAAAATCAGCTGTTTTCCATAGGATGCAATTAATGCTAAACACCCCCAAAATGGAACTGTACTGTAGTTTTCTATGTGGCAGTCAAAATCTCAACCACGTCAGAATTCTATTAATTAGAATGAAATTGGTTGATTATTTATATTTATTACCTGTTACTTTTCTTCATACCTGAACTCTATTATACTTGAAAAAACGTTTTGGAAATTATAAGAAAAAAAGTTAATGAACAAATTCCAAATCCTTAGTACATCCTACACTCTTTCATATACAATCTCTTTATTCTCAGCATCCCCCTATGAAGGAGGTATTTATTATCTTTATTTTGCAATTGGCAAAACTGAGAATGAAGCGTTAAGTAGTTTTCCCAAATTCACAGAGCTTTAAAGAAGCAGAGTGGAAATGTAACACCAGGTTATGCCTGGTTGAAAACAACCCGAGGAAGTACAAGCCTGAAAATGTCTTCTCTAACTTAGGGTTCAGGCACTGATAGAATGGTAACCACCTTTGTGTCTTTGACTTGAATGTATTTCCTTGATTTTGCAGGATGTGAACATCCCTGATCTCATAAAACAGCTTGATATCTTAGGTGATAATGGGGTAAGTAATGAAGTGATGAAGTACAGTAAAAATATGAATTTGCCTAAAGAGAAGCAAGAGTAATAGCAAGTGAGACCCCTTGTTCACTTAAGGATGTATCTCCCTGAGAATCAATAATTTGTCAAACAACCTGGCTAAGCAATTGTAAAAATCTCTGAAAGGTAGGGGCGGAAATAGGAACTGGTAAAGTGCTTTTCTTGGGCAGGTTTGAGGTCTGAATGCCAACCACATCAGCTGTGATTAAAGCTAATTACCTTCTGACTGTTGCTTGGAGGCATCCAGCGTGAAATTAATCAGTCATGCAGTTGCAAATGCCGCTAAATTGTAGGGTTGGTGACAGGCCCATAAAAATGTCCCAGGAAACTATAATCCCTTTTCTTTCTAAAAACACCTTCCAGGCAGGGTCAAGGCATATTAATTCAGTGGGAGGAACATTCATTGAGATGCTAGATGAATGACGAATGTAGGTTGGAGGACTCCCACCATTTTTTCTCTTGAAAAATTATCAACAGAGAGAACAGAATCAATAAGTCATATCAAACTGCTGTGAAGAGATTACTCTTTATTTCACTTTGTTTCTGCTTTTCTCAAAATATGACTATTAATGAAACATAAAGTCAGTATTAGAGAGATATTTTTAAAAATCACAATGTGCTTTTTACAGGTTTTGAATGAACTCTTTGTGAAGAATTATTACTAAGAGTTGAACATTTGCTAGGCTTCCGTGCGTGCATATGCAGTAGTGTGTATGGCAGGAATTTAGGCGCTATTTTCCAATGGTGTAAATATCATGAATGTCTTCAGCTTATTTTCCTTCCTTCCTTTCTTCACAGAATTTGAGAAATGAAGAACAAGTGGCCATAATTCAGGCCAGCACTGTGCTGTCCCTGGCAGAGAAGGTAATATGTTGTGCTAACATTCGAATCGTCTGTGTCTGGCTTAACACCTAGAGGGCAGGGTAGTGTTGAAGAACATTCTTTTTGCACATGACTGTATTATTAAATAGCTAACAAATATTTTAGTTTTCACTGTGATATACGACCCAGATAGAATGAGAACACACAAAAGAAAAATCTACACACTGACTTGGGGTGGGTGGATAGTTCTTGCTTTACAGTCTCTTAAAAACAGAATTCTTGGGGCCGGCCCCGTGGCCGAGTAGGTGAAGTTCGCGTGCTCTGCTTCGGCGGCCCAGGGTTCACAGGTTCGGATCCTGGGCGCGGACATGGCACCGCTCGCCGGGCCACGTTGAGGTGGCGTCCCACATGCCGCAACTAGAAGGACCCACAACTAGAATATACAACTGTGTACTGGGGGGATCTGGGGAGAAAAAGCAGAAAAAAAAATAGAATTCTTAAAAAATGGGAAACCTTCTGAATTACATTATTCAAGCAATCCCACCAAGCTGGGAAGCCAATAAAGAAGGATTTTGGTAAGAGGGGGTAAACCAGAGGATGCCTCTTTGTATAGGCTTTCCTTGGATGTGTACATACCATTGTCCCCATCGGATTCTGTAACTTGGTGGCGGCTCACTTCAGTCTTATTCAGAAAGCCCAACCTGGGGACTGTCAGAAGGACAACACTGAGTGTGCTCCAGCCCCCTTGTGTCTCAATCGGGTAAATGGCAGGAACAGAGAGAGGAGAGAAAAGAGCCAAGTGCAGGTGGTCAGTAACTGTCTGTATTCAGGGAGCCTTGAGAATCGGTGCCTGGTTGAGAGTCATGTGTACATGGTTGCATAAAATGAGAACTGTGTAAGTTCCTTGAGGTGCTTTCTTAATTCCTAAATGTGTAAAAGGCTTGTTATAAATTAAGTGAAACCATGAGCAAGCAATCAGCTTACTCCAATCTGCAGTGAGGGAACTCTGTAGGCCAAATGACCCAGTTAAGTTACTCAAACAAAGCAATGACATAAAAAAAAAATGCAGAGGGAAAGGGAAGGACTGCTCTAAATGTTGAAATGATCCTTTCTTGCATCCTGATTCAAGCAAACCAAGTGCGGGGAAAAGGACATTGCGCTCACAACTGGGGAAATTTTAATATGGACTGGGTATCAGGTGACAAAAGGAATTAATGTTAATTTTGCAAGGTGTGGAAATGGCGTTGTGGTTATGTTTTTTTGAAAAAGGTCCTATCTGTTAGGGATGCATATTGAAGTATTTCCCTGTGAAATGATATCTGGGATTTGCTCTTTAAAAACTTACTTCCTCCGCGATTTAATTACAGACCTTACCACTTTCCCTCTGGTCCTCGCAGCAAATTAATAGCATCACATCGTCCCGAACATAAGGTCCAGAATCCAGAACTTGGCAAGAGGCCCCCTGGGATCTGGCCCTTTCCTCCTTCTCCAGCACCCACTTCCTTCCTTGGCCACTAGCTCAGGCCCAGCCATATACAAATTCTTTTGGGGCCCCAGTCTTCTCTCTCTCTCTCTCTATACCTCTGTTTGCATCCCTTGGCCCTTTATGCTGTTCTCTTTGCCTAGAAGATGTTTCCTTCTTCCCTTTCTACCTCTGTCTGGCTAAGTCTTAATCACTGGACAGCCACATAGAGGGGAAGACTTCCTATTCACCCAAGCCCAGGTGGCTGTTCTTTCTCTGCGTTCCCATGGTGACCTGTGCTTCTGCTACCGTGGCTTTTAATAACTGTAATGCAACTGCCCCTTTTCCTTTGTCCACTAGACTCTAAGCCCCACAAGGGTAAAGGTGGTATCTGTTTCCTCCCCTTGGTTTTGCCAGGTTTGCCCACCAGTCCAGCACAGCTAACAGGTGATCAATAAATGTTTACTGAAGGAGTGAATGAGTGAGTTTGTGAATGTCCACGAGACACTGTTGCCATGATACAAAGATGAAGGAAACACTGTCTGCACACCCGTTCTGCTGCATTCATTCAGCAGTGATAGCCAGGGTGTCTTGTTCAGTTGGGGCCATGAAGGGTGTGATTCTTTATTGAGAGAATAGTCACCTCAACCTAGGGATACAAAGGAAACTTGGGCCAATTCTATGGAAGGGAAGGAAAGGAAAAGGAAAAGGAAAAATAGCCCTTATGTGCCTCAAACTTACTTAGACTGGAGGAAGAAAGCCTTCCATGCTCTGCCCTGGGGGATGAGGGGCAGCATGAACTTGATCAGGACTTACACTTTCCTAGTGCTTCTTTTGCACGTGGCATTGTCCTAATTGCCAACGTCTTGGTACTACTGTTATTCCCATTTCACACATGAGGAATCTGAAGCACAGAGGAGGTAGGTACCTGTCCAAGTCACACAGCTGGAAAACGATGGAATCAGGATTCACACTCAAGCAGTCTGTTTCCAGAGGCCATGATCTTCTTAACCACTGCACCAAACTTCCCCTCGAGTGTCCTATTAAAAGCAGGAAGTACCTGGGGCTGGCCCTGTGGCATAGTGGTTAAGTTCGGCATGCTCTGCTTTGGCGGTGCAGGTTCGTGGGTTTAGATCATGGGTGCAGACCTGCACCACTTGTCAGCCATGCTGTGGCAGCAACCTACGTATAAACTCGAGGGAGATTGGCACACATTAGCTCAGTGCTAATCTTCCTCAGGAAAAAAAGAAAAAAAAGCAGGAAGTACCCAATGCAGAGCATGTAGGAACTGGTCTATTACAGCTATGGTGAACTAGCCCATACTTCCACTTACCTCCTTTGCAAGACAGGTTAGGGGGTTCGGTTGAACAATCACAGGCTGATGACTGTGTTTAGCACTGTGGTAGAAAGGGAGGAACAAGATGAATGAGACAGAAGCCTGTCCTTGTGGTGCTCATGATCTGTGCAATTGCCATTTGTGCAGATCTTTGCCATTCACAGGTTAAGGTCACCTCCTTCCTTTGGGATTCTACCTCCAAGTAATTGTCCCTCCAAGTAATTCTAAATGTCAACCTTGAATTTTCTGAAACCACAAACTACTGTATGGGAGTGTGATTTGTAGCCTAGACAAATTTCCAACAAGCAAATCCTATTGTGACTTTGTGTTAAAAATAATAATAGCAGTGGCCTTAAGTGAGACTATATTATGGGCCAGGTACTGCACTAAATGCTGTATGTGCATTATATCATTGTTCCTCACAGCCATCCCATTTTCTTTTCTTTTCTTTCTTTCTTTCTTTCTTTTTTTTTTTTTTTTTCTGCTGAGGAAGATTCACCCTGAGATAACATCTGTGCCAATCTTCCTCTATTTTGTATGTAGTTTGCTGCCACAGCATGGCAGCCAACAGGTGGTACAGGTCCATGCCCAGGAACCAACCCCGGGCTGCCCAAGCAGAGCGCACTGATTTCAATCACTAGGCCATGGGGCTGGCCCCACAACCATCCTATTTTCATCCACTTTTTTCATTCTATACATAAGGAAACTGAGGAATGGGCTATTCAATAACTTGTCCTGCATCACAAGTAGTAACAAGCAGGAGCTAACACACAAATCTATATCCAAAGCCCGTGACAGAACTCCTTCAAAATTCACAGTACTCTTTAAACATGATTTACAAAAGGATGTGTTTCTCAGTGACAAATGGGCAGCAAACAAGAGGAAGAATTTTAATGAAGCTTCACAATATGCAAAGGCAATATGATGCTATTTACAAGAAACCCATGACTTTTGACTGAAATTTGTTTCAGGGGGAAGCCATGTGTATGTACAAGAACTGAGAAATTAGAACCTCGTGAGTCTCCCCATACCTTTTTTCTTCCCCTATGTTCCCTACAGCTGAGGGGCTGTTGGACATGGCATCCCCTTGTGAATGTCAAGGCTCCAGTATATAGAAAGATGCTTAGTGCAGCACATAATTCATCACAGATAAACTAAAAAGAAATAGCTGGTAATGGGGCACATTTCTAATAATACAGAAGCACAAAAATAAATGTTAACCAAAAAGTAGAATTTATTGGGTACCTAGTACATGCAATATACTGTGATTAGTGCCTTACATGAAATACATCCTGTACTCTTCACGTTTATCCCTTTTTACAGATAAGAAAATTGAGGCTTAGAGAAATCGGGTAACCTTTCAAGGCCACACAGCCATGAAAAGCTAGAATTGGGATTAGACCCCAGGTAGTTTGCCTCTAGAACCCACACACTTAATTACTATGCCCCGTTGCCTCCCTGAGGGATAAGCTGATGTTTGACTTGGTAGATAATCATTAAATAATTTGCTCTATTAAACCATACATGTGGTAGGCTCACGCCATAATATTCAAAGTCTAAATTCATTCAGGGTGTTGATCAATGCTAACATCAGTGCCATATAACAGAATGATATATTCAGTGTGTTAGGAAAGATAAGTTCTTTTCAGGTGACTTAAAATGTCTCCACTCAACAAAAATGGGTCTTCAACCCTTGGCTGTTATCAGCTTTATATGCTGAAAAATTGCCATTTCTCCAGTCTCACCTGGCCTTCTTGTTTCATCATGCTCCTTCCAACCACAGAGAATTAGACATCCCTTCTGCTTGGAACTTGCCCCTTGTTTTTGCCTACTCATCTCTGACTCATTCTTCAGGCTCCAGTGCAATTATCACTTCTAAGAAAACTTCCCATGGTTCCCTCCAATAAGGACAAAAAAAATGTTGGTCACATTCACCATCTCAGCTCTACTACCTAGCACATTGCTTGACACATGGTAGACATCAATGAAGGCATTTGTTAAATGAATGAATGAATGATTGGAAAACCAGTCTTATTTCTGAACTAAGAGATAACAGGCACCCAGTTTTCACTTTAATTCTCAGGCTGCTTCCTGAGCTATAAAGGGAAGAGACTGAGCACCTCAGGGACAGCACCATACACACCATGTCAAGCAATCATGTCAGACACTTCTGTCTTGTTTACCCCTTAGTGGATCCAGCAAATAGAGGGAGCAGAGGCTGCCCTGCATCAGAAAATGATGGAATTGGAAAGTGATATGGTGAGTACAAAGATGAGGTATCATAAAAATGAAGAAAAAATGACAAGGCAAATGAAAAAATGACTGTTTTCTACCAGTTTTATCTGGCTCTGATGAAGTTTGTAGCCTTCCCATTATTTTGTATACAGACTGCGGAACAAAATTCCCAGAAGTATTATTCAACAATTTCAAGTCGTAGTCTCCAAAAATATCAAGTTGTCTTTTTGTAATATTTCCAAAACTCATGCTGAAGAAAATTCAGTTAGGTGTTTTTTTTTCTTAGGTTAAATAATTTTTCTACCATATATAATTAGAGTAGAAATTACAGAAATGATGGATTTAATGCTGATTTTTAAAATCCCCAAGCTACCTTACACCTGTTAGGATGGCTACTATCAAAAAAAAGTTAGAAAATAGCAAGTGTTAGTGAGGATGTGGAGAAATTGGAATCCTTGTACACTGTTTATGGAAAGGTGCAATGGTATGTAGCCACTATGGAAAACAGTATGACAGTTGTTCAAAAAATTACACAGAGAATTACCATATGATCCAGCAAGATCACGTCTGTGTATATACCCAAAATAATTGAAAGCGGGGTCTCAAAGAGATATTGTATACCCATGTTTGAAGCAGCATTATTCACAATAGCTTAAACCTGGAAGCAACCCAAGTGTCTATCAACGGATGAGTGGTGTATATGTACAGTGGAATATTATTCAGCCTTTAAGAAGGAAGGAAATTCTGACACATGTTACAACATGGGTGGACCTTGAGGGCGTATTACGCTAAGTGAAATAAGCCAGACACAAAAAGACACATACTGTATGGTTCCACTTATATATTGTATCTAGAGCAGTCAAGGTCATAGAAGCAGAAGGGAAAATGATAGTCGTCAGGGACTCAGAGGAGGAGGAAATGGGGAGTTGTTTAATTGATACAGAGTTTCAGTTTTGCAAAATGAAGAGTTCTGAAGATTGGTTCCATAACAATGGCAATGTACTTAACACTACTGAACTATACACTTAAAAATGCTTAAGATGGTAAATTTTATGTTGTGTGTATTTTACCACAATTAAAATTTTTTCAAATCTCCAAGCCTAAGAATTAGTCATTATTAACTTACAGCAATACATAGAATTTTATAGCTGTGCTGTCGTTAATATTATTATTACTAAAAAATAGGTAGTGATTCCTATCACGTTGGGGAATCCTATAGAACTCCTTGCAATCCTAAGAACAACAACTTAGACTGATATGGCAAGTGACAGCTTACACATCATTTGCTTATATTTTACACAGGGTTGGCATTTTACCAAGAGGTTAGTCTCTAAAGTCAAAGCATGTAATAAGAACTGTTTATATTCAAATACCCTTGAAAACTCTTTAAATGCACAAATGTTAACTATGCAGTCAGCCTGTACCAGACACTGTTCTAGGCACTGGAGCGCAGAGGTAATTGGGAAAATCACCAGCAAAATTACAGCATGCAGACATATAGTCTCTCAGAAGTCAATGCAATCAAGTCTCCTCCAGCGTTGTTCCTTCAGTTAAGCACACAAAGAAATAGTTGTCTGTGCCTGGGGCTATGTGGTACACTAAGGTATATTTTTAAATGCTATTGGCAAGATGCTCACAATATGAAAGGCACACAGAAACTGCGGACAAGCAGGGGAATGTCAGATTTCAGTCTCCCAGCTCACAATGGGATGTGGCACAAGCAGACACTCATTAAGTGGCATTGTGGGTAGAATCACCCCCACTCTCTAAATTGTCATCTATCTTTGTGCTAACTTGGTCGAAGTTATCTGTGTACAATTAGTAAAGTTTGCTATTATTGAATAAGTGGTTTTTTTATTACAACTCTGCTATATTACATTTCATAACATTCTTACAAAAATATACCATCACAATATATTTGCACAGATACGCTTATGAGTTAACGCCTTTTCGAAGCTATCTTAATCACATAGTCTTGGATTGGCATAGAAATCCTTTAAAGCATTCCATGTGGCCTGTTCATTTTATCTTTTATGCTTCTTCCCATTGGTTTTCACATTCTCTGTGTGAGACTATGAAAGGTGAAATATTTCCCTAACAGAGAAAATCTATGACCCTACAAACAATGATTTGACTTGTGGTGGAATTAGAGAAAACATTGATTAATTCAATTTATATATCACTTTCTAGTTAATCAAGCTGACTCTTTATCAATATGGCCCTTTTTTATAGGAACAATTCTGCAAAATCAAAGGCTATCTGGAGGAAGAACTAGACTACAGGAAACAAGCTCTGGACCAAGCATACATGGTAGGTACACCAGGCAGTCAGGACACCTGGCGTGGTTACAATTATGTTCTGTGGAGTAGAGCATCCTACTTAATTTGCAAGCCACATACTTGAATAGACCACAACATGCAGCTCATTTATTCAGCGGTTTCCACTTCCAATTTTAAAACAAATATATCCCTAGCTCTTTGCTGTTATAATATTCTTAGAATACTTAATAAATATTTCATTATACTTCATTTTTAAAAAATTAAATGTCGCTATGTAATATTTTAATGAAAGACAGACTGGATGGCCGTGTAGATTAAAGAGAAATTCTATTCAATCAAATCCAGTGGTTTGGGAGCCTAATCTAGTGGTGGAATAATAAAGTATTTAATGTTTGCTGTGTATATTTTTAATTCATTTATTTCTCACAACAACCCTATGAGGTATAGGTAATATTATTATTCTATATTACATATGAGGAAATGAAGGCTTAGAGAATGAAAGAACTCTGCCCAAATTGGTAAGCAGGTAGTGTATCAATCTGACTCCAGACATTGTGGCCTTAACTGCTGTAATCCAGCCATGATAAGTAAGGCTGTATCAGTCGATGGGCTGTGCTTTCTCTCTCCTACAGAAAATTATGCTGATTGTGGAAGCACATTTGACCCATTTCCCTGTACCAAATTCATAATGCATAATTCCTAATGTTGGACTACAGCTTGCCTTTCTTTTTTCCATACACAAACATGACCGCCTCATTAATTTACAGTAATGACTCAAGAGAAGGAGAGAAAACTTAAAAGAGGAAGATTTCAAGGGTTGCTAGTAGAGGTTTTTATAATGCTTTCCTGGAAGCAGCCTGAGTCACTTTTGGGAAACGAGTGAAGCACTTAGCCCCTGCTTGTCACAAAGATGAAATAGTATTCCCCCTCCAAAATGAGTAGGAGATTCTGAGCATCGCTTGATGGGGAAAGGAGGAAATGAGAGCTGGTCACTAATTAGAGAATAAAGAAGGAGGTGATTTTCCCCACTCTTCCTACCCTTTCATCCTTGCCTCCCCTCCCTCTACATAAGATTAAGCTGTGTGTTTGTGTGTCCCACAGCTGAGTGCTCCTTCAGACAACTATATTTAACTTTAAAAAGATGATATCTGCTTAGTCCAGGACAAGAGTTAGGAAAACATCCCTCACTGGGACATGTCCATTCACCTCTGTCAAAGTCACAGGGACTAAGATTATAGATTTTGGTAACTGTATCTGAAGCATATTTTAAAAAACAACAACAACTGGGATATAAGCAGCAGTAGACTCTTCATCTAAAAAAAGATAAGACTCAAGGAGGCATTTTATAGCTAGAGCAAGTGTAGTACTCAGAGTATTAAAAAACAAACCAACTCCAAAGACTCTAGGCTATTTTAGATCATATTTCCAATGTTTATTTTAAAGGAAAAATATGGAGACCATAGGCCATCTCTAAGTAGGGAGATGTGTCCTGTGAGAGAGAGGTGGCATTTTGTGCCTGAAATATATCTCCAATTTTAAGTATTTTATTCCAACTTAGAACACTTTGCAATACTTATTTATAAAAGTATGGCCACCATGATAGATGTCTTTAAATATTTAAAGAACTGTCAAATGGACGAGAGAACAAGCTTATTCTCAGCTACATTTGAGAATAGAAGAATGTACAGTTATTATAACAAAGTAAGGACTTTCTAAAAATGAAAGGTATGTGAAATGGACAGGATCCCAAGAAAGAAAACAAATTCCCCATCATCAGGGAAGTTCACATATTGATTGGATGACTCTTATGGAATCTTATAAAAGGGATTATCAAAAGGGTAGTTAAGTTAGATAAGCTTTGAAATTTGTTTTATTGCTGTGATCCTGTAACACTAGAATAATACATCCCTCCTCATATACACATGTGTGTGTACAGAGCACACAGCATACGTAAATGCTAAGTTCCAAAGTTAGACTTTTCTAATTCTGTTTGCCAGAGGATCCAGGAACTAGAAGCTACTTTGTACAATGCTCTGCAGCAAGAAACTGTTATCAAGTTTGGTGAATTATTAAGTGAAAAACAGCAAGAGGAGTTGAGGACGGCAGTAGAAAAGTTACGGCGGCAGATGCTGAGGAAGAGCAGAGAGTATGACTGTCAGATTCTTCAGGAGAGAATGGAGCTCTTACAGCAAGCCCATCAGGTGAGGACTGAGTCACTACATCTGTGTAGGCTTGGGACTAAGCAAATGGGGCTTAGTACTAAGTACATGGTATTGAGTATGGGTATGGAGAAGCCCAGGAGATATAAGTTATTTTCAGAGAGTAAAATAAATAGCTATTGTTTTCCACCTTCACTCAGATATAGGATGACAGTTTTGTAATGATTCAGTCTTAAAAAACTTGGCATTTCAGAAGCATTGCATATTGCTACATTTTTCCAATACTTTGTCATGAAATACCCTTTGAATCTCATGGGGCCTGGTTACCTCCCTTATGCAAGGAAGCAAGACTCTCTTCAGGGCAGAAATAATGCTTCCCTTCTGTTACTCATCGCAGTCCGTAACCTAGCCTGATCAAATAATCTGAATGGGCTGAAAGAGAACAAGGGCCTTTCCCTTTATTCCCAGAACCAACAGTGACAACAACAGAGCCTGGAAGCTGCTGCTTACTTCCTGGAATTTGCTGTGTGTCGGGAACTAAGCTCAGGGCTCTACTTATATCATTTAATTTACTCTTTACAATAGCCTACTAGGGTAAGTATTCTTATTATCCCAATTTAGGAAATTATGATACTGAAGATGAGTGCTTCAGTGATTTGCCCAAGATGACACAGATAGTAAGCAACAGAGCCAGGATTACAACCCAGGTCAGCCTGACTCTGAGGCCAATGCACTACACTGCACTACACTGTCGTATGCAGCTTGAGTCGTATGATTTATATGCTTCATCTAGACCAGCAAGGCACAAAAGAGACACCCAGTATTGATTTATAGCCAAAATTCTTAATTCCAACTCTTAGTTCATGTCGTAGCGTGAAGGGTGAGGACTAGAGCCCTGGTCAAAAGGTAGATTCCATAAGAAATGCAAATTGAAAGTGCCAGCCTGTAGTATTTGGTACTCAGAAGCTGTAACGAGCAGCTGGTACAACATCCAGATGTGCCATTCAAGAAGTAATGTGGTCATCAGAGGTCAAGGTGAGTGGAAAAGGAACAGGGGCTATTTTATGACATCTAGAAGAACAATTTGTGGGGAACATGACACTGAGCACACTTCAGATGTAGCAAGGAGCTTTATGGATCTTTCTAGGCTAACAACAGATTACCCAAGTTAACAGGGAACTCTGGGGCCATTTGTCCCAGAGATGATGAACACATACATGTTTGTTTCAATGCCCCTTCAGATTCCATCATAAATGTTTTGGTTTTGACCCTGGAAAGAATTTTTTAAGCCTTTAATAATAAACTCTATGCTGTGTATGACTCCACTCATATGAGGAATTTAAAAATGTGGACTAAGAGAACAGTTCAGTGGATACCAGGGGAAAGATGGGGTGGGGGGTGGGCACAAAGGGTGAAGTGGTGCACGTACAACACGAATGACAAACATTAATGTACAACTGAAATTTCACAAGATTGTAACCTATCATTAACTCAATAAAAAAACAAAAAAGGGGAAAAAATAAAACAGACAACATTCTGGCAAGCCAAAAAATAAAAATAAAAAATAAACTCTATGGCATCATTGCATTACTGAAGGCGTCCTTTTCTTCTATCAGGGAAAGAAAGTGTTCTCTGCTTAAATTTCTTATGCTGCAGCAGCATTTAATTAATTTCAACAAATCAGGAGTTGTGTTAGGGAACCACAGAAGTGTGATGCACAAATAGTTATCTAAATTTATTTATAATTAAAACCTTGTCATCTCTTTTGAGTCTCTCTTTAATCAGCTAATCACTCCTGAAAGAGATGGTATTGCTTGTTGTGTTTTAAGTTATCCAGACTGAGCTGATAGGTGCATCACATTTCTAAGCCTCAGAGCATTCCATGGACATTTCTATCTCCCAAACAAATGTTTATGAGAATATGACTTTTCTAGTTATTTCCTACTCTTCTTCTTCCCTTATAACCAGTAGCTGTGAGAGAATTATTCCAGAAAGCATTGGCCAAGATTTGTCATGTATAAGCATGTAATCCAGTCTAAATTCTAGAGGATTTCATTAACAATTTATTAGACATTTATGTATGAATGTTTCAGAGTGGACTCATATGAAACGTACCTAACTATGCATTCTGCTCCTTCCTTCTCCCTTCCCTCGCCATCTGCCTGTCTTGATCAGTAGAATCTCCATATCCCAAAGCACTCAGACGGGAAACCCTGGAGTCTTCTTGGCCCTTTGTCACCAATAGTTAATGTAGCACTAAATCCAATTGGCATTTCCCCTGAAATGTTTTTGAAGCTGGTCCAGTTTGTCCACACTTGTTACCCCAGCCATCTGCAGGCCCTTTCATTACTGCAACAGCTTCCAGGTGCTGCCAGATATCCTCTGAGGTACCCCGACTCCATCATCTATGCATTTATTCAGTCAGATGTTTAAACATGCTTCCTAGGCATTAGATACCATGCTAGACAGAGAGAATTCACCAGGGACCCCTGCCTTTACAAAAGTGCAAAGAATGGACCCTGCCTTTACAAAGCTTGGGATCTGTAGATGGAGAACAAAGGAGATCAACACAAAGAAAAATAATTATGATATCTCTTGATAAGTTACATAAAAGAATCATATGCAGTACACCGTGGGGACAACTTCCAGCTCTCTTGTCTTCAGTTCGTCTGCATATCACTGCAGATTCTTGTCACCTTTCCTGATGGTACCTTCTTCCTCAAAAGCCTGCATGATCCCCATTTCCAGTTGAGTCTAGTCCTATGCAGGTCTCTCCAGGTTCTTCATTATCTGGCAACTCCTCCCCCAGAAATCCTGATTTGAGACAATCTCCAGAATATACCTTCCTCTCTACTCATGCAAGAGTCTTCCTGATACCACTTGGGCCATGACATCCCACCTCTAAGCCTTTGTCTGCATGATTACTCACCCTCAAATGCCCTTCCATGTCTGCTGCATTTATCCAAATGTTCTCATTTTTCCAGTCTCAGTTTAAGATCCACCTCCTTTAGGATGCTCTCCCTGATGAAAATAATGGACCGCATACTACTGAAAGATCTGCATTCCATACCATATTATAAACTCATTCAAAACCATTTATTGAAGCCCTTCTTGTGCCAGGTGTTGGGAATGTGGTGGTGGATAAAGATATAAAGGTCACTGCTCTCATCTATCCTACAGATGAAGAGGGACAAAGCAACAACACAAATGAACAATGACCGAGGCAATTTCAGAGACTGACAATAAGTGCCAGGAAGAAAATTATACAACGTGTGTGTGTGAGTTTGGAAGTAGGATTGGCCACTTTAGACTGTCTGGTCAGAGCACACCTCTTTAAAGATGTCTAAAACTCAAAGAACCAGCCACACAAAGATCTCGGCAAAGTGTCACGGAAGATCAAGACAGCGGAGGCTAAGTCTCTATTGTGGGAAAGTTTGGAATATTCAAGGAACAGAGAGAAGGCCAGTATGGCAGGAGCACACACAGCCAAGGTGTGGTTGACAGGAGGTGAAGGTGGAGAGGTGAGACAGGGCTAGATCAATCATGTAGGGCCTTGAAGGGTTTGAGTTCTATTCTGAGTGCAACTCGGCCAACTCTGCCTCCTTACTCTTCCTCATCCCTAAAACCCAGAGACTGCCTTGATCATTTCACATTTTAAGGATTCACACTGGCTGCCCTAGATGGATGTAGAATGGACAAGATTAGAAACAGCAGGAGCCAGCAGTAAACTATTACAGCAGTCCTGATGGGGGACAACAGTGACCTGATATACTTGGTAGTGATAGAGATAAAAAGCAAGTAAAAAAGGGATCTATTTTGGGCCCAACAGGGTTTCCTATTGAATTGGATGGCTAGCGGATGGGAAGGAAAAAGAAACAAAGCATGCAGCACACAATGTAGTGTAACTAAGTCATTTAATAAATACGTATAGGCAGCTCCTTTGTGCTAAACACTGTACTAGGTATTAGAGATTGGTGATGAAGTTATACATGGTTTTGCAATGTTTACCTTTTCTACTTAATTCGTTTTTCCCTGTTCATGTTTTAAATTTTGTCTCCCCATCTGGATCTGATAGTTCTTTGAGGTCAGGAATGAATTGATGTCTTATCTGTATTCTCCATGACATCCAGCACAGTCCTGAACTTGTAAGAAGATGCCCAACAAGCACAGATTTGATGACTGAATAGATACTGCAGTAATCTCATATGTCCATGATTCTATAGATACAATACTAGCCTCCACATCCAGTAGACATACCAAGGAATTACTTGCACACTCAAGGTAGAAATATCTAGCAAATTTATTCTTTTACCGTGTAGCTTTGGAGCATGAACAGCACTATGGAAATAAACACAAGCACACGCCTCACACACATACACACACCATCAGCATTCCAGTCCCATTTCCTTCTCCAGCATTCATTGTCATATAATTTCAAGGTCAGCCTTGTTGGTCTCTCTGACCAAAACACACCATCCTCTCCTGCACCAAGCTCAACCTCTTTCCAGTAAAGCAGGATTTCTCAGTCTTTGCACTACTGACATTTTGGGCCGGACGATTGTGGTGGGCTGTCCGGTTTATCATAGGCTACTTAGCAGCATCCGTGACCTTTGTCCATTAGATGCTAGTTGAACTCGCCCCCAATTGTGACAGTGATCACGTGTAATTCAAAAATGTCCAGACAATTAGATAGTGGTGATGGTTGCACAACTTTGTGAATATACTAAAACCACATTGTACACTTTAAAATAAATTAACTAACTTAAAAATGTCCAGACATTGCCAAATGTCCCCTGGGGGGCACAAGCATCCCCAGATGAGAACTACTGTTTTACAGGGAGGGAGAGATGATTTCCAAGTTCAGATATTCTTTGTTCTAGCTTCCCTTTTTTCTCTCCACATTGCATTATAAAAACCTCTCTTTCCATGTTTTCACCCCATTTAGCTTCCAGTGTTTTCTTCTCAGACTCCAGTACTCTATGTTCTAATTATTCCCAAAAGAGGCATTAAATAACAAGCTTACACTGTGTGAGCATGTGCTGTGAACATAAAAGGCCTTTAGATTACCAGAGAGAAGTTTGAAGACTGCTTTTCACTTCCAAATAATTGTTTATGTAATGTTGATTTCAAATCTGCACTATTTAAATTACTGGAATTTTGTTATATTGTTGACAGGTAAGTTCAAAGACAGTTCTGGAAGGTTTTGGTCTTTCAGACGTATTTGTGCTATTTTGTTATGTTTGGTTTTTTTCCTAATTGATCAGTTTCCTCCTTGGAATTTTTGTCAAAGTGTAATCTCTACTTTGTTTGTTTTATGAGAACTGGCCAATCGTGTTTTGTGAGGAAATTCCACCCTGAAACAGAGTTGAAATGAGATTGAAAAGCAAGGGTAGCAAAAACAATGGGATTGTTTATATTTGTGTTCGTCAGCCTTAGCCATTTTTCACTGTGGTAATAAACAACCAAAAAATCTCAATTCAAGTGGTTTACAACAAAGGTTGTTTCCTGCTCACTAGTTCTGGGACCTTCTGTTGTCTCCACAAGGATGCGGCATTCCCGTATCTCACTCCAGCACACATTCCACTGGGCAAAACAGGTCTCACGGCGAAGCCCAAGGACAGCGGGGAGGGGACTGTCCTTCTCTCACAGGGGAGGGACCTGTAGGGATAGGCCCGGTGGAGAGAGGTGGCAAATATTTTTTAAATGTAATCAATGACAATGATTTTCCACCACAAGTGCCAGTAACTTTTGAAACATGCAACCACCTCTGGGTTTGGAAAAACGTATACGTGATGTTTCCAGCTGTTAGTACTAATGTTAAGGTTTTTATAGAAAGTTTTCTGTTTTACGTCAGGGAACAATCTTTTTGTTCAACTTAACACCCCCTAACGCCTTTTTTTTTTTTTCTTTCTTCAGAGAATCCGTGACTTAGAAGATAAAACAGACATCCAGAAAAGACAAATAAAAGACTTAGAAGAAAAGGTATCAAGTTACATTTGATATCTATTTCATTCTTTGTTTTTTTAATCAGAAAATAGTATGGATTTCTCTCACTGCGTGTTCCTTCTTTTCTCTCAGTTATTGTATATCTTGCACAGGCAGGTGTAGCCACAGTAAATGTGACTTCACCCTCAGCCAGGCCCAGGGTTCCAGCAAAGGTTGTGCCTTCAATAACCCATAGCCTTCACATTGCTGCCTTTGTGTGGGTTGCTATTATCTTCTATACGTGTTGTTTTTGTTTTGGTTTTCTTGGTGTTTTTTTTAAAGATTGGCACCTGAGCTAACAACTGTTACCAATCCTCTTTTTTTTTTTCTGCTTTTTCTCCCCAAATCTTCCCAGTATATAGTTGTATATTTTTTCAGTTGTGGATCCTTCTAGTTGTGGCATGTGGGACTCAGCCTCAACATGGCGTGATGAGCGGTGCCATGTCCACGCCCAGGATCCGAACCAGTGAAAACCTGGGCCGCTGAAGCAGAGCGAGAGAACTTAACCACTCAGCCACGGGGCCAACCCCTTTTTTTTTGTTTTTTAACGTCATTTTCCCCCTTCCTCATCTTCATTTCCTTTCCAAAAGTTTCTTTTGAGTTTTGTTCCTCTCCTTTGCTCTTTCTTTTCAAATTCTTTGTAGCACCTTAAAAGAATCTTTCCCATTATTGTTCGTAAAAGGTTCTTTTTTCTTTGTGCTGCAATTTCACCTCAATAATAAGTTCAGAAATTTAGATTGACACATAATTATGCCCTCATGTCACTTCCCCAGTGGTCTAAAACAGTAACTGCTTCTTCTAAGTCGGCCAACACTTTTTGGGGGTAAAGCATAGTAGTTCTCAAAAAGGGCATTTTGAAATGTGTGTGTGGTGGGAGAAGGGACAGGGCTCAGGCAGGGATGCAGAACAAGATGCAGTGAGTTAAACAGTCTTGCACAAAATAGGATTATCCTGCCCAAAATACCAGGAGTGCCCTGCTGAGGAACACAACAAGGATGGCAAGAGGTTTTCTCTGGAGTTCCAGTCTGATTGACTGAATTCTTGTGTTGCAAAAGAATCTAGTTGTTTTGCAGTATCTTCCATGGGCACCCAAGGAGAAAATAGCAAACCATCTGCCATTTCTGAGTCAATGATTAGCATTTGGTTCCTCCCAAATTGCTTCTGTAGTTGTCCACATATGTGATATCAGAGGGAGTTGGGAGGGTCCGGTAGCCAGACCATCAGCCCCCTGGATTCTGATGTAGGCTGGGTCTTCAGGTACTTGTTTGACCTTGGGTAAGTGACTTCGCCCTCTGTGTCTTAGTCATATCTATAAAATAAGGATTATAACACTAGCCCTCACCTCCTCTCCTGGGTTCCATGAAGAAGAAATGAGATCACTTATGTGAAAATTAGGAAAGACTAAGAAAGTAAGTCAAATTTAAAAAGTATGATTTTTTAAATTTCTAGCATAAAGTACACATCTTATGAAAATTTGAAATTTGAAGTTTTCCTCATTCCAGAAGTGTGCTAGTTAGTTCCACGGAATTGAATGAGGCAAAGATGAAATGCAGTGAACCAATGACTGAGTTTAATTTCCCAGCATTTGGCAGGAAGACCTACAGGAGGATTATTCCACAGTCTCTCTGGTTGTCAAAGGACATACCTAACGTCTTCCATTTTCCGCATTTTTGAATGTCAAGTTCTTGGCTCTAGTCATTCTCTCTGCTAATTCTTAAACAGTCCTGGGACTGCTGAAGGAGGAAGTCACGGTTAAGACAGTTCTGCCCCAGAAACTTTAGTTCAGTTTAGTTCCCATTCAGCTGAGGAAAAACAAACAAACCAGAAAAGGAATTTTTTTATATCTGTCAGTGTCACCACCCTAGCCATTCCCTTAATAAACCCCATGGACATGTTCGGAGGAGAGGGATTGAGATTATGTTTACTGTCAGAATTCAATGTGAACTTTTCATTTCACGAGTCTGAACTTCCTAAATATTTATGATAATGAGGTAATGTACTTAACAGGAACTAAGTATCCTTTAGCTATCAAAGCAGCATATTCCACATGTAGTAGTAGATTAAGCCACTTCAAAAACAATCCAGTTGGTTTCTGTTGAGAGATTTGAATGAGACATGAGGTTTATAATGCACCTTCTATTTGTTTGACCTCAATTCTACTCATCCACAAGCCTAATAAAAAGGATAACGTTCACTATGTCTGAGATATTCTTCATTCTTTCCTTTGGGGTACCTGAACACTCCCTCAGGGTACCTACAATATTCCTTCTTTGTTCCTGATTCCCATGCACACGGTATAAATCAGGTGATCACCACCAACATGGCATAATTACTTCAGATGTGCAGCACTTGACTGTGTCCAGAGCACTCCCACGTCACCTCATTTGATTCTCATAACTAAGCTGTGAGACAGACACAGCAGGTATCATGATCCCCTCTTCTACAGATAGTAAAACAATGGCTCACAGGGATTAAACAACTTTCCAAGATCGTATCAGCAGTTTATGGAAATCAAGACCAGAGGTCAGGGCGTCTGACTCGAAGTGCCACAGTCTGCCACCACACTGCGTAGACTAAGAATCTCACTGCAGACTAAGTGATGGGCTTCTCCTTATGCCCAGAGAAGTAGTGTCGATGTCTGACCTTCTCACAGGAATAGTAGAATCCTTCCATTTCTCTCCTCCATCCTCTCCTGCTATACTTACCATCATATCACTCTCCGTCTTTAAGGAATGAACAAAAAGGACAGAGTTTCTGCTTTTCAGATGCATAGAATGTCACCAATACATGGCTCTTAGCGCCATATGTGTAACTTGTTCCTACAATTTTGCCATAGTGAAGCAAGAGCCTGATGAGCAGTGGCATTAAATGAAATATGCAAATAACATGCTAATACGAGATGCTATACATACTCCTTATTCAAAGATGTCACATCCAACAGGATGCTCCAGAAGTGTGATAATGAGGCGAAAGACTTCATGACTCTGTAAGAATAAATCACCAAGGAAATTGACATTTGAAAAAACGGATCTGATCTGTGACCTTTTATAATTCGTATACAGTTGGTTGTATACCAGAGCTACACAAGCATGTTGACCATTCAAGCACCTGCTTCTCCAGTGAGGTTCTTGATGTAGGGAGACAAATCAGACTCCATTTAACTTCTATGAGACGAATAAGGAGAAATCTATCTCAGAAGCATGACAGGCTGCACCAGCATCATGCGTTCATTATCCAAAGCATCCACTGATGGATAAGCATATTTGGTACCGAGAGCATGACCACACATCCTCACTCATCCAGGACAGACCCAGTTTATACCTGTTGCCCTGATGTAATTACTAATAGTGTTCCCTTTCCACCTCAGGAGTGTCCCAATGTGGATAACTGATCATATGCTTACCCTACACTTTCTTTCTGCCGTGCCTTAGTCCTAAAACCTAACACATTAACCAAACAATGATAGCATGGAGTGGTTAAGTATATGCTCTGATCATATTTTGTGTTTTGGAAATACCCTCCCACACATTAAAAATAGAAACAATAATGTGTAATAGAGTAGGACTTAGGAGGTCTCAATTCTAGGCTTCGCCATACCATAAAATTATGTGAAATTAGTCTATCAATTAACTGCTTTGTGCTTTTTTTTCTCACTAATAAAATTAGAAGCTTAGACCAATTATCTGTTAGAGGCCCCTCAGAATTCTAAAATGTGTGAGTTGACGTTAGTTGAAGGCAAGTAATTCATTGCATTGCTTTACCTTTAGATAAATAAAAGGTATGTGTTTTTTTTAAACAAAAGGCACTTGGTGTGTATGTGAGAAGTGGTCAGACTTGAGCAATGTGGGAAAGCTGAGGTTCTGAACTACCTGAATGGCACTACAGAAACTCAGGTTTACACAGTCTTCTTCTTTTTCTTCTGCAGTTTCTGTTCCTGTTCTTGTTCTTTTCTCTTGCCTTTATTCTATGGCCTTGATGTCAAGGTGCCTCTTAAAGGTAAGACTCTATTTAATTCTCAAAATGTGGTTTTAAGAGGTATTTGATGTGAAGGATGCTGCCTATAGTAGTTGCTATGCCTGTGTTTTTTTAAAAAATAAGTGTGCTTGGTTTGGTTAGCTTAGATGCTATAAAATGAGAAACCGATTCAATCCGTTTGGGTGACTATTAAAGAAATAAAGCAAACCTGACGTATGATGGAAATCAAGAATTTTTTCCTAGTTAACTGTATTGCTTTGGGAAATCATGATGTCAGTGGATCTCAGTATTTTTATCATAGGCTCTCATTACACGGAAAAGTTACTGCTATATCTGCAAAGTAAAGAAATATGAGTATATTTTAAGTATGTCTTCCAGCTTGAAAATTCTGATTCTGTAAATCTAACAAACTAAAAATGACTGGTTTTTTTTAAACCCTTTCTCCCAGTCCCTCTTCATCAGAACTCAGGAAAGTGGGCTATTAAGTGAAATTGATTTTTTTTCAAATAAGGTAATTTTCTATTTCAATTTAGGAACATAAAAATAAAAGAAGCAGGCCTTGCCCCATGGCTGAGTGGTTAAAATTCAGCACGGTCCACTTCAGCAGCCTGGGTTTGTGGATTTGGATCCTGGGCATGGACCTACTCCACTCACCAGCCATGCTGTGGCAGTGACCTACATACAAAGTAGAGGAAGATTTGCACAGATGTTAGCTCAGGGCTAATCTTCCTCAAGCAAAAAAACAAAAAGGATTGTTAGCTCAAGGCACATCTTCCTCAGCAAAAAGAAAAAGAAAAAAGAAAAGAAGAATCCCATTATTACTAAACTATCAAGTCCACATCTCATCAATACATGTATAAATAATCTTAGACAGTGATTCTCAATGCTCTTAAAAATACAGATTCTGAGTCCTTACTTTTGACTTAATGAATCAGATTTCTGGAGATGGAGGTGAGATAGGGGGTGGGAAAGGTGGAGAGCAAGGATTGATTTATGTTTGTAACAAGCATACCAGGTGATTCTGATGTCTACCCAGGTACAGAAACCACAAATCTTGATACCATTATTTAAAAATGAGGAAGGGCTAGCTGCTATTCGAAATCCATTTATCATGGTCTGTGTCAACTCTGGTGACCCTGTTAAGGTGTATTATGCAGGGATCTCTCCTGGACCTCATGTTATTTGACATTTTCTATAGCAAGCTGAAAAATGGAGAAGAGACAGTTTCTCTCTCCGTTGTGTCAAGTCTGTTACCTGGATGTATAACAGATGAGCAAAAGTGCTTTGGCATGACCCAATACCAGGGAGGAGTCAAGCAGGTAGCAGGCAAGAGACAGATAGCTAGAAGTAAGGAAGAAAAAGGCTCGGCTTGTTGACAGGTAGTAAAAGCATATTGCAATTAACCACAAAAGTATTTTTCCTACTAAATTAATGATTTATATTCTGCTCTTAAACCTAAGACTAACTTAAATTATATACTCTCCCTCAAATGGAGAGACTCGTGCTTTTCTTTTAGCAATTACCTAAGTCATTACTGTCAGTGATGATCTAAAGTGGCCCCGTGCTCCCAAGAAGGCACCCTTACCGCTCGCAGTGGTTGCTGACTAAATAACTCAGTTCAATTATATTGGGGCTTTTACCATAAGTGGGGGAGCCCCAGGCACTTTCAGGAGATAGCATCTGCCCATGCATTCTGTATATTTATTCTAAGTGAATAGCGTACCATTAATTTTTCCACATCCAGCAATTATACAGGGAGACAAAGGAAAGAAGAAAATGAGAGAGGTAGAAAAATAGCTATCACCGGGTTAGATGTTATAGCCAAGTTATGAGGTCCCATTGAAAACCCTCCCCTTCTGAGCTCAGGGAGAATCTTCCTCAAACAAAAAAAAAAAAGCGTAGGATTGGCAGTGGATGTCAGCTCAGGGTGGATCTTCCTCACCAAAAACAAAAGAGAAAAAGATGCTTTAAGTTATGTGTGTTTCTATACAAAATAAATACGTAAACACAAAAAGTCTTTTACTTACAAACTTTCAATTTGTTTTCTCTCAGAGATAAGCCTTCAATTCTGTTTCAAAGCACATATGTGTCATTTCTGCCTATCACGACTGAAGGAAAGCCCATCATTTGAGTAAAACCATGCTGGTTTTAAAAAAACAAATGGACTTATAGGCAGTCTCCCAGAACGACTGATGTATGATTTCTACAGCAAAGCCAGGTTTATTCAAACTGGCATTCTGAATAACTGAAGTGGGTCACCATAGATGACCAATTTTCAATGAGCTAATTTTCAATTAGCTATAAACTAAGACTGTGTAGAATATAAATTCATCTTTGACTCAAGAGGCCCTTCTGGATATTACGGAACCTCAGGGATTCTTGTGAATGAGTTGCTTACTAGCACTGAGCAGTAGTTTCCTCTTCTGTAGAACAGCCATCGTAGCTCTCGTTTCTGAGAGTTGACTACACGCCAGCAGACTCTAAGTCAGTGAATGCCGTGATGCCACATCTGACTTGTGACTCTAGTGTTCAAGTACCTACCACACTTCCTGGTTCCTGGCTGATGAGCAGAGTAGGTCCACACCTGGGATCTGAACGTGTGAACCCCAGCCGCTGAAGAGGAGTGTGTGGAACTTTAACCACATGGCCACGGGGCCGACCCCCTTAAAGCATCTTTTATATACGTTCAGATCACTTCTCTTCTTTACAGGGAACATGGGGATATTATAGCTGTAACTAGTTGTCTGGGGCTCTCATCTCAGTGGAATGTAATTATGAACACAATCTATTTTCTCAAAACAAGGCTTTCCCTCATGTTCTGTCTTACTTCCCTCTCTGATCCTTTAATTAATTCTTAGCTAGTTTGTTTCCCCAATTTTTGTTACCTTTGGTTCTTGAAAGTCTAGCCCAATTTAAAAATTCAATTGCAGACTCTGTTTAATCTCATTTCTTGCCCTCTCCCCAGTGGAGGAGGAGGGTCACTGTCTGGCTGTGAGAGATCTTTTCCCTTTTCCTTCTTCAAGGCTCAGCTCTTCTGAAGAGCGGGGAAGAGGAAGAGGGAAAGGGCAGCGTGCCTCTCACCTCCCCTGGAGTGGCTTGGCCCTCTTCCTGGTGGTTGATGCTGTTTCTCTGGCTAGTACCAACCAGCTCTTGATGTCTTTTCTATGAGAGGTGTTGAAAGACTGGCCATTTGGGAGACATATGTGTGAGTTGTTCAGGAGCCGTGCAGGGCATGCCCACTGCTCTTTGCCCTGACAGGCTGAGGCCCAAGCCCTTCCACTGCCCTTCTGGATCCCATCATTGGTGGTACTAGCTGCAGCGTCTTGCTGGGAGCGAACTGCTGCCCCTGTCTCCACCCTGCCATCCCTCTCCAGTTCTCTGCTCAGAGAGACAGAGGATGAGCAATAGGTGAGCGTTGCTCTGTGTTTGAGCCATAGAAGGCGAGTCTGCTTCCTGCAGCCACCACCAATCTCTATGCCTTTTGGCACCGTCCCCTCCCTCCCAAGGTGTACTCTCATCCCACCCACTGAACTTCCTTCCTCCTAGTTCTCCTCTGTGACTCTTTCACTCTTTCATCCTGGTCTAATCTAGCCTTTGGGAGCAAAGTAGCTCTGCAAATACGAATTCCAAATATTTCTGACTTGCACTTATGGTGGGAATTTCTTTGAATCTCTAGTTTGCCTCTGCGTGGTGGACTGGAAGTGTCCTTGGGTCCTAAGTGCCTCCTTTTCCACCCCTTTGGATCTTGGTCACCATTTCTGGGGCATCAGTAAAATCCTGCTACAGAATTAGTATCTTTATTTTGTAGGTGGGGAAATTAAGGCTTGGCGAAGTTACATAACTTGTCCTTGGACATACAGTGAGCAAATGGAAATCCCATTTTCTCCATCCATGTCAGTCAGACTCTAAAGGTCATGTCCTTAAGCAGGACATAATAGCATGTCCTCTGTGCCATTTCCGGCTTTCATTGGAAGAGGCCTTTATGTCCTAAACTTCTACCCAAGTGAAAACCCAGACATATGGACTCAAAGAGGAACAGGGCGGGGAATCCTGACTGGCATAGTCCAAGGAAGGACCTTTTCAGGGACATGTCTGGGGGCAACCAGGGAACCTGTGTGACAAATTTTCCAGGGAATCCCCAGGTCAGGACCTTAGGGTGGAGACCATGGGCCATTGGATACAATTGTTGGGGAGGAAGTATGGCATAAAAGTAAGTTACTAAAGGGCATAGACAAACCTCCTTTTAAAATAATATCTTAAACCGATATTTGGGGGCATGGCGATTCAGTTGAGCTTCTTAAGGCATTGCCTTGGAGAGCCCCAGAGGAAAAGGCAATAAGGATAATAGCTAATATTCCAGGCTACTTACAATGAGACAAGAACTGTTAGTTGCTTTATATGCATTGTTGCAACAGCTATTAAAAATAGATATTTCTCTTTTCTCATTTAGAATTAAAGTAATTAGCTTAGAGACTTTCTTTATGTAACGTATACAAGATCATACAGCTCAAAGAGGTGGTTAAGAATAAATTTCTTTTTCTTTAAAAAAATAGTTTGTTTTTTTCTGTTTCAGTTATTGACAGAAATGATGATTAAAGAATTTTCCCCTCTGTTTTACAGAGTAACCGAAAACATGGATAAGACCCCAGAAAGGCAAATGCTTCTAAACCTTCAAAGATGGCAGAAATGTTTACAGCAGTGAGAGGGAGATTAAAGCTAAGAACTACCCTGTAGCCAGGACTACAACTGTGTATTTTAAAGCCATTATTCAAGGTTTCTTACTTGACAGTTCCCACATGACCCTGTTGAAAATCTACAATATATGCTGCATTTAATGAAACATGTATATGTCAAACCAGAAGAAAAGAACTATAAACATATATTGTGTAAAGAAAAAATTCAGCAATGGAAAACAGTTTCAGCAGATCAAGCAAAGATGTGTCTTGGGCATGGAACCAAAGTTACAAAGAAACATTCTACCCCTGCTGTGCAGGGGGGTCATTTTAATGTAACACCACACCCCATGGAAACACTAGTCCTGAAATAAACATCATTTTAAAAAATCAAAACAAAAAAACAAGGGTGGGTGGGGAGTGAAGCACGAGGAATACCTATGAGGAGCTATTTACAATAAAATGTTTCATTTGAAAAGTCTGGTTTCTTACTACAGGGATTTGCTTTTCCGTCTTTATTATTGTTTAAAACTCAGGAACAGAGACATCTGCGATGTGAATGGGAAGGAAAAAATTCTTTCTCCAATTTGTTTTTTCTGCAAAAGGTGGAGCTTATGGAAGGCATTCCACAGATGACAGATGAGAAGTGGATCACAGTGACCCCAACTAAACTGGCAACTAAGGCGAAGGACCCAGGCGAATGTAACATAAGAAATAAAAGCAGATTTGATGCTTCTTTGGCCTTCTGTCACATCTGTGTTCCTCCACAAGCAACAGACTGATCTCATTCATATTGAAAATTAAGAAGAAGATGCTCTAAGTCACAAGCTCCCTGACACAGTTCTGTTTAGAATGCCAACGTCGCTAGGGAACATGGGCCAGAGAGCATCTCTGAATCTTCCAATTTCCAAAATACTGGTTTTCAAGTGGCTGCTTAAAATTGCCTGCATAAATATATGATTTGAGTAAAAACACAATAGAGGCAATAAGTAAACTCTACCACCAGTTAAGTTTGCCACAGAGATGTGAATGTTACAACAAAATGATTTTTTTATAAGTATCCTGATATGCCTAGAGCATTCTGACCTCTTATCATTTAGACTGATAACATTTTTTCCCAGAGAGCTGACAGCAACAAGATAGCTCTACTTTTTTATATAGAAGTAACATTATGTTACTGATAAGGTCATTTTCTACCAGAGACAATGAGAAGACTGGTACTTTTCCTAAGTTATGTAATACTGAGTCTTGGATTCAGCTCTGAGAGCAAATAAATGTTCCTGAAAAGCTAATTTTACACCTCATTTACTGTAGATGACAAAACAGCCTCAATTTTTCAAATTGTCAAGGTTTTATTTACAGGGCTAGAATTCCCATGCATAAAGAATGTGTGTAGGGAGCCAGAAACACTTTCTATGAAATGATACACAAATCCTTCCTTACGTGGGTTCAGTATCGCATTCTTTGGTTTTAGCACTGGCATTTTCAAAGCCAGAACAATAACTGAAGAATGTACAAGAAAAGCTGGAATGCTGGGGTCCCACTTTTTGTTCTTATATTTACTGCTGACCCAGGTATCTTTGGCCCAGTCACTTAACCTCTCTGTGCCTCAGTTTCCTCATCTGCAAAATGAGGTTCAAATGCTTTTACATAAAGGTTTTTTTTTTTTGAAATTCTGGAACAAGAGGTGCTTAAAGTAGCACAATGTGCTTTGTAATTATTCTGACTGCTGTGTTATTTGACTTTCTTGTATTGTTGAGAAAAAGAGTCCCCTGTGTAATAAAATAGTGCTTCCATTTGGTTAAATCTAAGCACTACAGCACTGAAGCTTTCCCATCAAACTACCTGGGACATTACTAGCAATAAAGATTGAGAGATCCAGAGCCAGGATCTCTAACAAGCTAAAGTAAATCGATCATCTCATGCTATTGAGGAAGACAGAAGAATGCGTCATTTCAATGATAAGCATCCCCTAGCTCTCCCTATTACATATGCATGCTGTGCTACAAAACTCCACTTTTCTCTTAGGAGAGCCAACCATGAAATTAAGGCTTTGAGTGAACTGATAGCATCACGTGATTAGTCTGATTATCCATTTCATTTTGGAGGAAGCCCCAGTGATATGACCTACTGGGAATATACAAAATAACTATCCTTCTGCTGGATTCTTTGTTCAACTGCGTAGGTTCCACAATAAACATGAATAGTACATTCATTGTGCAGGCAATGTGAAAGAGGGTGCCACTGCAGTCTGTGACCCCATCCTTTCAAATCTCAGAATATATGGAAGGGGATAAATTATTCTCGCATCTCTTTGACTTTTCTCTTCCCTTGCTCTTCATTGGCCATTCCAGGGTCCATCTGAGCAAATTCCTACTCCAACTACTCCATCAAACCTACTTTCCTTCTCTTCCTCTTTCTCTCCCCATCAAGAAACTTGTAGGTTAAATTTTATATCCAAGCACTGATTATGGTTTAAATGATTAAAAACATTTGTAAAAATAGTGTGGTTTAATCATATACCTTATCTGCTATAAATCTGATTATATCATACACACACAAAGTCATACGAGAGCAATGACAGCTAGGCAAACCATCAGCAGCTTTAGATGTGTTTAGGGCAAATGCAAAAGGAGGATTCTTTCTTTTTGCTTAAGATCGAGGAGATTAGCGAATTTCTCTAGATTCGAGGCTAAAGGGTGATATTTTTACCAAGTCTTACTAATGACCCTCAAAATTAATATATCATTTGATAAGCCTAAATATTTTGATAGATTCCTCTCTTTGTTATCCATTTCCACAATTACAAAAACATTAGCAAAATTGTAGATGTATGTTTCAGTCACTGATGGATCCATGGGAGTGGATCATGTCTAAAGGAAAGCTTCCCTTGCATATGATGTTCAGCAATACTAATAATGAGTGTGTTGTTGATAACGAAGAGATTTACTGTGGCTCCACTTCTTACAGAGAGCACACGTTCCCACTCTGATCTTTCATCTCTGCGCCTTAACTATCCTGATACATTTCTCTAATGACTTAGTCGCAATCAGAATAACATTCTTCAGGGTTCATTTACTTAATGTTTCTTAACAAAGTATTTATCTCTTGGAAAATAAACGTAACTGAAAATATTGAAAAATAGTTTGAAATAAAATGAAAGCCCCAATTCATCACAGTTATTCAGGGCAGGAAAATTTTCACGAGAAAGGAAAAACATGGAATACTATATTTGGCTATACTACTAGAAAGCATCTGTTACTAAATCACTGTCTAACTGTGTTTTAACGCCACCCAAGTTTTAGGAAACGCTAGACCTATGTCATATAAATGAAATTACTGCCAATAGTGAGGTTTTAGGAGTGGAAGAATAAATTTTGCTTTGATTTTTCTTACATTCACAAATAACTGCTCACAGCAGTGGTGTGGTTGTTCAGTAGGATAGAGATGATGTAGAAGGCTCATGGGTCATCACTGGAGTAGAAAGGGGACATTTGTTCTTCACTAGTAATAGAAGAAATAAAGTTTTGCCAAATAAATGCTGTATTTTATTTCAACTTACTTTGATTGTTTTCAGTTTAAAATAAATCTCTGGCAAACTTGTTCCTTTTTGCCTGTTATCAACTTTTTCTGTAAATCCATTGTGTAGTTCACATCTTCAATGTCTTCAATGTAATGCATACGTTCATTGTTTTAAAATGAAACATGTCTTTTTAACTTGCCTAGGTTTTCATGGAAACTGTAAAGATAATGTTTATGAGTTTTATGTTGATGTTTTATTAACTGGATCATGTGTGTTATGTTACATCAAAATAGATGGATAGCGTAGACATTGTATTTTTTAAATACTGCATTTTTTTGATCTGTCAAAAAGTGGCACAGAATATATATATTTATCTACTATATTGAAAAAGTTCAACATAACTTTTGCGGGATCAAGAATCAAAGGAATCTTGGATGACTGTTTATGTCATGAGTTAACGCTTCCAGGATGGGCCCGAGGTCTTCCTTAAGTGGACCTCTACTTTCTAAAGGGAAAAAAGTAGGTCACAAGGTCCTGAGGGATGAAAGCTTCATTCTGTTCAACTGCCTTGTCATTTCTATGTAATAAATTATCTTGAGACTGAATTTCAAGCATATTGGCAAGAGGATTCCAGACATAATAGAAGGTTGGAGCTGATCCTCTGATTCCATTCCAGTACCGGGCAGGGCAGTTTTCACATGCCTTTGCTGCTTTTAGTTTGGCAGCTTAGTTCTTCCTAAATAAACGTTCTGTTCTTGAGAGTCCAAGTCCAATGTTTAATCAAAATTACTAAAGATATACACCGAGAGGCAATGTGGCAAAAAGGAAAGGGTTATAATTTGCCATATTCAACCTGGGGTCTCAAACTCAGAGGTACAGGTAGGTGATTGGGTCAAGTTCCTCTTTCTGTCTTTGTATTTTTGCACTGAGGTCTTGTGCCCATGCTTATATCTCCATCCTTGTTATATCAAAGTTTTGTAGGATGGGAGTGGTGTAGACAAACATCTCTCAGGCCAACTTTGCCTGCAATCAAGACTCCACAAACTTGCTGCAGTGTGAATGATGCAATTTCCCAAAAGCAGATCCCCTGCATCCATTAATAATAGCAATTACTTATTTTGATTGACATCTCACGAAATGTGCCTATTCTCCCCCATTCACCATAGTAACTTCCTACAATGAGGCAGATTAAAATCCAAACACTTTTATAAATATGTGATGTCCATATAGACACATATATATTCTGTACATAGTATGATGGTGTGAGCGCTTACTAGATGTGTACTTCTGTCCTAGGATTGAGGACTTAAGGAAGGAGTTTTTCTGATGCTGCTGAGTAACTCATGCTTTTGTTCAGCATCTGGTGTCTGTGCTCTTCGCCTCCCTGCCTGCCTCTCCCCCCTCCTCCCTCAACTTCTGTCCATCACTACTGTTCCCTGTTGTTGACTGAGGCAAAGAACGACTCGTTGGCTTTCCAGTTATTCGGGCCAATAACCAGCCTTGTGATGCCAACGGTTTTCTGGGATGAGCTACAGGAAATCCAGCACAATCGACAGTATTAATATCAGCCAGAAGTCCTATATTTTTATCAGCTAAAAATCCCATTCTAAGAAGGGTTCATGCATGTTTTAACCTTCAAAATCCAATCCTGTGGGGACTCAAGTATAGAGCCGATGTGTCTGAATACATAATCCCCCAGATGTCTATTGTATTCGTGTGGTCAGGGGCCAATTTCTCAGAGTTTTCATCCAATCAACTGCCTCCGTTGGGGTTCTTTCTCTCCGTCTCATTAGCATGACTCCATATATTGCTTCAGTGCTTGTTTATTAAAGGAAGAAAAATACAAAGTGACTGAGTTTCGCCAGAATGATCCTCTGAAGTACACTGAAATGTACATGTACTGTATGTATTACCGTAGAGACTGGAATCAACTTATTGTATGTAAAGTTTTATGAATGGTTATTTTATAATTTATGTATTTAATATAGGAATCAATGAGCTCTGGTGTTTTAGTTTATATAAAAATAAAAAGCTGCATTTTTTAAAACTTTACCTTGCATTGTTCGTAGGTTTTTGGTTTGTTATTGTAACTGAACTCTTATCTACTTTGGAAAAACAGAGTGAGGCAAATTAGAGCTATAGTGTAACGTCAGGGAAAAATCTCTGCATCAAGGATAGCAAATAGGTTTCTTCTCATCCATCCCCCCTGAATTTTTTATTGCGCTAGCCAGGGGCACTCTGCTGAAGTGTCCAAGGCAGAATTCACACTCATGAGGAGAGAACCATAGTTCTCGCTCTGAGGACAGTTTGGGAGAGAATCTTGCCAGCTGTTTGCCATCCTTATTCTAGATAGTGTACTTCTTTTTCTTTATCCGCCTTGCTTTTTTCTCTACCGTGTAGAGGCACTAGACGTGGTGAGTTAACAAGTATGTGTTGTGTGAGCATCCATTGTGTGCCCATGCCTATGGCCTGGTATGTATGGATCTACCCTCAAAGAGCTTACAGTTTAATGCAGCAAACAACCCATGTGCACGCAAAACGAAGAGCCAATATTGCACAATAATGAGGTATAATTTTGTAGGTCACTGTTAAGAAGTATAAAAAATAATATTAGTATTTAGGAGTGGGCTCAAAAAATTCATGCTAAGAACATTTCTTCTTTCAATTGTAACCTCTTATGTTTAGCAAAAAGTGTCACTCATCAGTTCATGGCAAAGTTCTCTTAACCGTTTATAATGACCATCGATGTGTCACGTCAAATCCTTAAATCAGAGAAGAATAAGGCATAGCCATGGCCCTCAAGACATCACAATCTACATTATTTGATGAAGACTTGCAAACTGACTGAGTCTCCATGAGAAGGGTACCAAGCATATCAGCATGCCACAAAATAGGCAATTATTGTTGTGGATTCTGTCTAATTTGATAAATGAGAAGCTCAGTGTTGATGAACTCCAATTCTGGTGTATAACTCAAATATACTATCATGTCAACAATTCAACTGATTTCTTCTAGCTCCAGAGGAAAGTACTCTAGTGTCTTCCTGAGACGCTAAAGGGGGTGGAGGACACTTCCTACCATAGTGCCAATGAACCAGTAAATATCCAGCAGGCCCACACAAAGCCCACACAAGGGGATTCCTCCGAAGGGCTCATGACACAGCTCTGCGCTGACCTACAGGTGAGCAAGTGCAGTCACAGAAGCGCAGACGTGTAGTCAAATGCTTACCTAGCCCATGGGTAAAGATTTACGCGGCATGGCTGATAAAGAATGCTTCTTTTATTTAAGCAACTTTGTAGTTACATAGGGAACGTGAGGGTGAATTGTGAAGGCTTTTTTCTCACTGAAAGTGCTTCAAATAAAAATCTGTTTTTAACAAATACATCTTTTGCATGCAGATTCACTTAAAATTATGAAGTCATTGGTTTTGATCAAAAGGCTCTATAACAAATAGTCATTGGTAATCCAGTCCTGGAATTACTATAAACGTATTGAGAACGAGGGCCGCCACATCTGTGTCATCTATGTGAGGTCCCATATGACACATTTTAGAATTTGGAAGGAGCATGAGGAAACACAAAACGAAGTAACAACCACTTCAGGAACTGGATTTTTCTTCATTAAGATAAGAGATAAAGAATGTTAAATTATTTCGCTTGGACTGCCTGGAAATGCATGAACAAATCTAAAATTTAATTATGGCATCTTATCAATTCTTTCTGTTTTCTTTTTACTTTATTGATTTTATTGTTTTCCCCTTAATTCTCTTTAATTTTGCTTTTAATTTACACCACGTCAAATCTATTTTTGTACAGCCGCAGGATATAAATTCAATATTTTAAAAATGCACATTAAATATTCTTAGAGTTACTATAGGGATGTAGAAAAATATTCAAACCTTGGAAATACGGCAAAATGATGAGTATGTATCTTTATAAATTTCACTTCAGAGTGGTTTCTAACATGCCATTTAGAAAGTCATTTGACTCTGGGGAGATGCAACAATTGATGTTTTACACCTCTGTAAAGTTAGAGTCTAACTTACAGAAAATTGATAAGGTGTGATGTATTTTTTCTGCTTAATAGAAAAAGAGAAACCCAAAGATTACGTTTTGTCCTATATACAGATTAACCACTTTGGTTTTTAACATTGCCTTCATTTCAGCATACCTTTCCCTATTCTTCAAATCTTTCTTGTATCAGTTCATTCTACTGATTCTTTTAATTAAAGAAGTACATAAAACTGACACATGTCCATTTCTTTTCATGAGAATGATAGTTTTGGCAATTTGATGAGTGCTTTTTTAAAAGGTATTCTAAAGGATATGGAGACAAGATGTGTTCCTTGCTCTCAAGGAACTTATAGTAAAATAGATAGGGCCCAGAAACAATGAAATAGACATCAACACAGGATGGTTAAAAGTCAGGAGGTTACCACAAGCCACCAAGAATCCTGAGTTCATCTCTCATTCCAGACCTGCCCCTTCTCCTTTGTTCCCCCTACTCGGTGAGAGATGCCCGATGGAATTAGGATGGATTCATGGGCTTACCTCCCTGCTGCCTTTCCCTCACCCTCCACATCCAATCCTTCACAAGGTCTACTGACTTCAGTTCCCAACCTGTCTCCTATTCTCCGTCACTTCTACTAAGAGCTTTCCACCTAACTCTTGCAGCAGCTTCCTAGTTAAAAACTGCTTCTAGCTGTGCCCTCTTTAAATACACCCTGCTTGCTTTTTCCAGCTTGATTTAATATGCAAATCATACTAGGTTGTTCTCATCTTTAAAATTCCTCCTTGGTTTTCCACACCTACCTGGGGTTAACTCTCGAATGCTTATGGAACTAAACACATAACGAAACATAAGATATGGGACTGAAGCCAACACAAGGCCACTGTTTTATCTAACCCAGCTCTAGAAAATAAGGCTTAAACTCCCTCCTTAGCATCGCTATTTATGTCCTGGATAAATCTTACTCATACTTGAAGACTCAGCTTAGTCATTATCTTCTTCGAGAGCTGGACAAAATATCCTTTGTTCTCCTGAAGCATTCTGTGTGTACCTACTCCGTCATTGACCATGCATATTAAAATTACCTTCTGTGTTCATCCCCACTGATACCCCCAAATAAATCTGAGTTATTTGAGGTCAGAGCATACGCCTTTTTCAGCTTTCAGTCTTCAGCGTTTAACACAGCTCCTAGTACCTAGCAGAGTCTCACTAAATTATTCTGACTCTGTTGTGTATGTATCGGACTATCAAGGGAGGAATCCCTTCATTTGGATGATAAAGAAGATTCCGCGAAGGTGGAAATAGGTAAACTGGACCATTTTTTTGAAAGTTATTTTTTTGTTGGTTCTGGATTTTTGCTTCTTTTGTGATTTCCTTCCTTTCATTATTTTGTTTTATTTTATTATTTTACTTTAGTAAAGTTTTGTCCCATAAACCAAAAGCTCTTCAGAAAACATGTGAAAAAGCTAACACATTCCCTGCTCACTTCACCTTCTCCTGAAGTGCTCTAGGCCCGTGCATTCTACCATCTGACCACAGGAGGGGAGCATTTGTCCAGAAGTCCAGGAAAAAGTGTCAGCTCAAGGGAGATCTGATTTTATGGGGTATTTTGTGTCCCTTGGTTTTGGGTTTCTCTTCCACACATCCCTATGAAAGAAATAATCTAAATATACTCACTGCCTTGACCACTCCTGGCATGGTTTTCACCATCTTGGTCTTTGCAGCCTCTCCTTATTTCAGGGAGGCTGGGTTGTTATCTTCACCCAGGCAGCAAATTCATTTGCAAACACGAAGGCTCAGGGAAACTTAGCGACCAATTACACAGTCTCCAAATATTCCAGACTCGCTCCAACGCCAGACACAAGGGGTGGAGGCAGTTCATCAGATTCGTTCCCTAATTCTCCACCTCTGAAGCAAGGCCTCCCAGAGGACAGATGAGAGAAGGCATGTTATTGTGTCCAGAGTTTCTCTGACTATGTGAACGCGCTTGAATTTTTTTAAACAACAGTGCTATGTTTTAAATATCTTTGCCAAAACGTATTATGTTTCTTAAACGAATTTTTAAAGAAAAACTAGGGATTTGTCCTTAAAAAACATTTACCTCCCAAGATGCATGAGAATGAAAAACAGCACAATAATTTCTTGTTTGTACAAACATTGGCTAGATAAGTATTTATTCCATTAGTCTGCCATTCTTAACCAGAAATGGCCTTCGATAAGTCACTCTGTAATTGGCAAAGCATTCCTGCTTCTTAGTGCCGGCATCTCCCCAGTCATACAGGGGCTGCTATGGGGAAGCACAGTGCGAAATAAGCCAGCTGCTTAAATTTAATTTTGATTATCCATAGAAGTAAAGCAGAGACCCAATTATATTGGCCTTTCTCTTTCTGACCTATTTTTCTTTCTACTCTGTTATGAAAGGCTATATGTGTGTAGAAGACAGACAGGCTGGGTCCCAGTACTATCTCTGCCACTTGGGATGTGTCATTGAGTGAGTAACTGAACCATTTGCAGCCTCCCTTTCTTTTTTTGTAAATGGGATAATAAGATGATTTCCCTTGTTGGGCTGTTGTGAGAATTAAATATGTAGCAGAATACAAGAAGTTTTACTGTGTGTCTGGCATATAAGGGCTCAATCAATAGCAGGCTCCATAACTCACATTTTTATTACTTGTTATGTTTTCAGTTCATTTATTAGTATAAAACGATACAGTACAAAAGTTAATATAGGAGCACAAAGTATGAAATAGTAATATGCGTCTTACCCCAGACATTCCTGCCTTCACAAGCCTTCCTGACTACTGGCACTTTCTGACAAACCCAACCAAAAAGTACTCAGCCAGAGCATTGCAGTGTTAGGTGAATATGCAGTGATTTATGTCGAGGACCACGTAAAAGTCTTCCTGCTCAGGCTGGGGTTAATAGGCGCTGGAGGAGGAGCGAACAAGTGGCCGGGCAAAATCCGGGCAAAACGCCAACACCAGGCCCTGCTGGGAAGCCTGCGCAATAACCTTTGCAGTACCTCCATGGCACCACAGGGT